ATAAATGTTATAAATTTGTGCAATAATTATATCGATTGTCCTTCTGGCGAAGATGAAGACAATTGCACCATGGGATACAATAACTACGATAAACAGTATCATTGTAACAGTGGACAAAGACTTGCCTTTCAACATGTTTGCAATTTTGTTAAAGATTGTTTGAATAACCAGGACGAAGAGTTTTGCTGTTTGTATTGAATTTATCTTTGTATGTTCAAAGAGAAAATAACATGTTGATCTTCATCTATTCATAGCTTGGAATGATTGTCAGGACAGAGGGAGGATGATATCCTCTTTGAATAGGCCAAATTATAAGAAATGCGATAACGGACAATGCATTGAAGACAAAAATTTTTGCGATAATGAATACAATTGTTACGATAAAACAGACGAAATTTGCTATTCAGAAGAGACATTCGGTAAAGACAAGATTCTACCCCATTTACGTTATGAATAGATAAGAAAAGAACAAATTTTTCGTTTTAATAGATTGCATTAAAGATACTCAGTTTTACTGCGATAAAAAATGTATTGATAAAGATCTCTTGTGCGACTTGAAATACGACTGTAAAAATGAAGTGGACGAAGGTTTTGTTTGTGCCAGCGTAACCGATAATCGCGATAATCAATGTAACAATAATCACATCAAATTTCAACAATATCATTGTAATTTACATTATGATTCCATGGGATTTATAAAAACTAAACCAAATGTGCCATTTTATCAATTATCAAATTGTTCCCATATCAAAAACTGTTCATTTGGACAGTATCAGTGTAAACAGGAAAAGTATTGTATATCAATTCAACAGGTTTGTGATAATATTAATCATTGCCTACTCGGTGATGATGAGATCAACTGTGGTAAGATAGGTGTAGTGGTCTTCTCTGTTCATCTCTATGCATTCAATCAATCACTTCTTCCCTCTTTCGTTCAGTGATTCTCTTATCCCTTTCTTTCGCACATTCCTCAGCTTTTGTTTTAACTTTTGCTTCTACGTTTCCTTCATTCAATCGTCTAATCGTCGATTGTTTGTTTATAGAAAAGTACAAACCAAGGGGATTTTTTAAATGTTCAAAAGAAGAGAATTATTACATAAACATTACGAATGTTTGCGACGGAATAGTCAACTGTTTGGATGGAAGTGACGAATTGTTTTGTTTCGATCAGTTTACTTGCGCAACAAACTGCAGTTGTCGGCCATTTTACGTGATGAACTGTACTACTACTGTTAGTCGGGATTTTCGTATTTTCGACCATAAGAAAGTGATTGTAGACGGTTTGAGAGATTTCGCAAAGCCAACAACGCAATCGTTTCACTTGACCTTCTTGCAAATTACAAATTGTTTGTCATTTTCCACTTTTGAGGTTTCCGCCTTTTTCCCCAACGTTTTCTATTTGGATTTTGAAAATAACAAGATAGAATCTGTTTCGGGTCTGTTAAAGGGACGTTTGCTGTTGCTTCAGCACCTGAGAATTGGGCGGAATCCTTTGCGGTTGGAAGAAGACTTTGAATTTCCAGAGTATTCTTCAATATCCATCTTGGATTTGTCTTATACGAAAGTGGTCAGTTTGCGGAGGGGGACTTTGAAGAATGTGAAAACCTTGAAGGTTCTTGTAATGAAAGGCTGCCGGCTAAGGGAAATAGAAGAGAATGTTTTCTCGTCGACCCCAAACCTAAAAGAGTTGCATCTGAACGGAACGTCGATCCGAAGCGATGCGGTGAATTCAAAATTAATGAACAATTTTGAAAATGTGGAAAAGATTTTCTCGAAAAGTTTCAAATTATGTTGTTTGTCATGGAAATTGTTGCGCAACATTAAACATTGTCTCCCCAGTGAAATGCTTATCAATTCTTGTACAGATCTACTTGGAACAAGAACAATTAGAATCATCATTTGGACATTCGCAATTCTCTCATTAATTGCGAATATTTTTATTTTAATTATAAATATGTCAAAAGGAAAGAGAGAAAAGAAGATATTTAGCATAGGAGTATCAATTGGAGATTTATTCACTGGAATGTATTTATTTTCTTTGGGAATTGCTGATGAGATTTACAGAGATGTATATATTGAATATGATGATAAATGGAGAAATGGTGTTATTTGTACAGGTATAGGCGCATTTGCTAGTTTTTCAATATGCTTTTCTTCACTCTGCATCCTATGCGTATCGGTTGAAAGATATATGATTATAGTTCATCCTTTTAGCAAGTTTTTAAACATTAAAAGAATTTTGTTCATATTTATAGCCTGTTTGTTATTGTCGGTTCTTTTTGGAATGGTGCCAATTTTAGGATTTTCAGTTGTGTAGCTCCAAATAAATTAGTGTTGTTTTTTGTTATTTTGTACCATTTAAAATAAGATAAGTTTTTCAAATAGGGATATTACGCAACATCACCAATTTGTTTTTCACTACACATAAGAAGTTCGAAAGGTGAAGGATGGTGGTATTCATTTTTAGTTTATGGCCTTTTTTTATTGGTTTGCTGTCTGTTGAATGGTTTTTTATACTTTTTAATCTTAAAAGAAATTTTAAAATCTAAGCGAATTCTATCAAAAGAACAATTAAGAAACCGTTTTTTCAAATTATTTCAATCGGCTTTTATGGTGACATTTACAAATTTGTGTTGTTGGCTTCCTATTTCGCTTATGGGTATATTTCTGTCAATTTTATACATTTCCTTATATTTTCGCTCAAACAGGTACATTTTCATCATTGGTGTATATTAATTTTGACAAAGAAGCCTATACTTGGATAATAGCTGTATTAATTCAAGTTAATCCACTTTTAAACCCATTCATTTATTCCGCAGCTGAATTAAAAGATTTAATCAACTTTAAAAAATCTAAATCGCTTATTGCAAAGTAAAATTAAATGACAAACATTTTAAAATTCAAAATTTTAAATTTAAATAATTTTTTATCTAGGCAGAAATTTATGGAAACTTTTAAAGAAAGTTTATTTAATAAAAGCTTCAATTTTATAAAATTTCGTTGCGAAAAAGGACTAATTTGCCATTGCGAAAATGTTGAAAGTTTAAATTTGAATAATAATTTCTTTAAAAATTCAAAATATTTAAAATGTTTAAAAGACGTTTGTCAAGCAATTTGCTTTTGTCACCGATATTCATTATCGTTAAATGGAGATATAACTCTAAAATCTATTTTCTATGATGGCCGTCATTTTAAAATTGATACGTGCTCGCTTGAACAATTGAACTCGTCGAATGAGAGAATGGATATGCTATCTTATGGAAAGTTTGTAAGGAATATATTACAAAGGAGAGTTAATATACAAGTCAAGTGATTTATATTTAAGAAATACAATAGACCAATAGAAATTCAAAAATATTCTGTTGATTGTACCAGTTTACTATTAATCGACCAAATAAAATGGCTTCAACGTTCAAAAAGGACTTTGTTAATAAAGATTTTCCTAACGTCGGACATGTAGCGTAAACGATTGCAATTTAAATTTCCAGTAGAGTATTTCAAGTCTTATAGACATTGGGGTTAGCAGCGCTCTTCTGTTAAAAATTGAGAATATCCTCTAGCTCTGGTCAACTGCCATTCCTGCTACTAGTAGGAGTTTAAAGAGTCCATTAGACCTATTTAATTTTCATTGAGTAGCGCTTGCAATACTAAAGTTGCTGAATTGGTGACGCTGTCGCCTAATTTATCTTCTTTTAATAACATTTAATATAGATAATATAGAGTACAAATTCGTCTAAACTTCTAGGTGGAGCAGTTTTTAATCTTGACAGATTCAGGACTAGTTTATCTGATTATCTTCAACTGTTTACATGTTATCAGTAAATTAAGGTATTCTGATGGCATATAACTGAGACGACAGCTTTTCATTATAAAGAATTTGAGAGTATTGAACGATGATGAGCAAATTCCCTCGCATATCGCTCGAATTCCCCTTCCCATTTCGAAATTGAATCATAAATTTAAAGATTCAAGTGTAGTGAACAGTGTAAAAATTTCTGCAAATTCTTCAGCATCGTATTAAATGAAAAGCGAAGGTGAAAGATCAGCATTTTTTATTTTTTTACAATTATTTCTTAACGTTTGGAAGAGAAAACGTGGAATTATTCGATAAATGTTGCTTTCTCCTGGTCTTCTTTTCCTTAATCTTGTTTCTCATAATAAAACGGCCAAGCCTAGTACAGTATTTCAATAAATCATTAAGATTTGACTAATCGGATGTACAGCAGTATACCATTTCTAAATCTTTCAAATTGGAGAGTTGATGGGTAGTCGTGTCTTCTTTTAGGCGTACATTGAAGTCGAATGTACAGGAGGAGAGCGACAGTTTTTGAAGAGTAGAAGATAAAATATCGGCTGTTCTTAGCGTAAAACAACAAAGAAATATTGATTTAAGTGGGCGATTTTTTAAAAAATTCAAGTTTCCTGTAGGAAAATACTCCTTGTTCATACAGTCACGATAATAAGTAATTAGTACAAGGGAAAATGGTCTTATAATATGATTATTTGGTGTTATATAATTTTCATTGCTTTTTAGAGTTGGATTTTAGAAGGGCCTATTTTTCAACTCTTCCAATTTAACATGTATTTGCATAAAACCTTTTTGACATCAGACAATAATATCTGAATAGGCACAGTACAGTTTTGTAAAATTTCTTGCGCTTTCCAGTTTGGTTTAAATCTTCATTTGTTTGTAATCTACAATTCCATTTTCCTTGTTATTGTTTGTGATCTGGGAGATAATAACTCTTAATTGTAACGTCATAGCAACTGTTTTCAAATTGCTTATACCTTTGTCAATCATCTAGACTATAAAGATGCTTTGGTCGTCAAAAAATTCGCACGTTTAAAACGTTTTATCACTTATTATAATTACTTATTATCGTGACTTTATAATGTATGATAACTATCACTGTAATATCAATAATTGATCGACATATTTAACATGTAGATCTTATAGTTGAGATAGAAAGAATAGAATTATTTTGTAATGATTTAATAATTCAAAATCGAAATTTTCAATCGATTTTATCTGTTATTCTTATCTTAACATCATGTTGCTATAAAGTATATAGGTTCTGGCCTTACATAAATAGCATGTAATCGCAGCTGGATATCAGTCTCTTGCTCTAGTAGACTTCACTCCTCTATTACTGACCAATTAGTAAAAGAATTGTAATTAATAAAAGAGTCCTTGACCTTTTTCAACGATTAATTATGAACTATTTAACAAGATTGTTAATTCGAAGTAAACGAATTGCTTATTTACCAAAATACGAAGACTTTTTAAAGACTAAAAGTAATGCGAAAAGACCAAAACCTGTTCTAGATGGTGTTAAGTTTCGAAAATTCAAAAATGAAGACACACGAATATTAGCAAAATATCTAACGTACGGTCACACTAAAGAATATTCTTTCATTGTTGGAGAGGATAATTTAGAAACTATAGTGGATTTTTGGTTCAAATCTGTAGAACAAGACGAAATAACTAAACGGAATTTTATTGTTGCAGAGGTAGACAATAAAGCCAAAGGTTTCTTGAAAATGCAGGATTTCAATAGGTTAATTATTGATTAATTAACGAATAATTAATTAACTAATAAATAATTTTATCAGGCAGGAAAAAGCTTTGCCAGTAAGTGAAGTATTTAAAACTGTACCATTTTTCGGAGCAATAAAACTACTATTAACATTTTGGCAAATGGAAATTATTTATCAATATGCTGACGAAAGTGATCAATATCTTGAATTTATGGTCGTAGATTCTAATCTAAGGGGAAAAGGTATTGGATTCAATCTAATGAAATTCGCAGAATATATAGCTGAGCAAAGAGGGGCAAAGGTCATTAATTAATTAATTTATTAATTATTTTTAAAATCTCTTATCTCGTCCACAGAAAATGACTTTAACTGTATTTTCCGAATATGGAGACCAATTGAGCCTCTATAAAAGACTTGGTTATATCATTACTCAGGAAATTCAATGTCCAAAATTCATTAATTTTGGTTATAAAGTAAAAAGAAAAGATTATTCAAAATTTTTCAATTTCCTTTAATTTTCTTTCCTCCATTACAGAAAACTTTCAGAATGGAAAAATATTTGTAGCTACTCTCTCGTAACCGATAAATTTATTTTTAGAAAAAAAACATATAAACTATAATCTTTACTAAAAAAGATTATGAGTGAAAGATGATTAAAAGAATGTCTATTTATAATTTGGTAGATAATAAAAAGTAAACATTAACTACTAGTAGGCCTATAATTTAATCAGTAACAAATTACAAGTTCAATTCATAATAATCTATTTATTGTAATTATTGAAAAAAAAACTGGTAAACGGGTTCTTTTTTATATTGAATAGATAAAATGAAGAAATTTGAAACGTTATTTCTTATTTTTTAAATAATGGCCTACTTAAAAACAATTATATCTGATTTAATAATAAATATAGATGAATTTTCGAATAATCTTTATTTAATTGACAAAAAATTTGATTTAATATCCGTTCAAGGAACTTTAATTATTAAATTATCAAATAACACTAGAACTTATTACATTAATTGTCAAGTTATTTCGTTACGTCATTCGAATGAAATATGTAGGAAATTGGGCTTAGATTCTTATTTTCGTTTACGTTTGCCAAAAAGATTAAGGACGGAGAAAGGCGTCTAAAATTTGGAAAATAAAAAGAGTCTTGTTGTAAATTGTAAGTAAAAATATATTTAAATATATTTGAAACGATATTGATTTGATAAAAATAGATACAACGATTCAACTTGTTTGCCATTCTTAACTCTTCAATTGCAATGTTTTAAAAATAATTCTACTTGAACCAGTTTCTTTAAATACTGTTTAACATTTTTACTGAACGCTTATGTCTTCTTTTGGATATTTACACTTTTATATTTAAATACAATACTTATGCACTATTATTAAGGACAAGAAATATAATTTACATAATCCAGGGTCAAAGTTCATTTTGGGAAGAGCTTTGTAAAAAGAATGAATATTTTAATAAAACATTGACTAATTATAATAAAAGTTTTGGTGCAAATATGATATTTTATAATCAATATTGTGACTTTGTAATCAACATATTCAATAAATTAAATCTTTGTATTTTACTGTTTGAATAACAAAAAATATTTTATTCTGAAAAAATCGTGAAAAGTACCCGATATCCTATTTTTGAACAATAATTAAAAATTTACGAAAATGACAAACTTTTTTTGCTTTCCCACACAAAAATTTATGTCAAGAATCAAAGTTGGATAACAATTTTAAAAAAGTTAAAAATGCCAAAAATAAGCTTGGATATGAGAAAATTATTGATGGAAAAGAGGAAGGAGAAGATGTCAATGAATGAAATTGCAAAACAATTAAAAATTTCACAGGGACCTGTCCATTACATAATAAAAAAGTTTGAGAAACATGGAACTATTAAGTATTTATCGAAATTATGCACCCCAAAGATTCTAACAGAAAGGGAAGAGAGAAAAATTTGTCAGATTTCAAAGAGAAATCCATTTCTAACAGCAAGGAATGTGCTTGAACATTCAGGATTAGGTTCCAAAATTTCTCTATTAACATGCAAAAAGATTTTGCAAAAAACAACCTTAAAGGCTATGTTGCAACAAGTAAGCCAGCACTAAAACCTTGCCATGCAAGAAATAGAAAATCTTTTTGTTTGTCTATGTTAAATAAGAGTCAACAAGATATAAATTATATTTTCTGATGAGAGTCCGATTGAGTTATATCCAAAAAGGAGAATTTGGGTCCATAGGGGGAGTCATAAACTGTAAATAAAATAGTCAAAAAAAGCCATTCAAACAGCAAATGCTTCAATATCAATATGGGGGTGTATAAAGGCTGATGGGACAAGAGCTATAAAATTATATAATGGTTATATGGATAGCAATTTATACCAAGAAATAATTGAGGAGAAGCTCTTTCCAATTTTTGAGCCAGACAACCTGCTTATGCAGGATGGTGCCAAATGTCATACATCGGCATCTACAAGGACATTTCTTGAGAGAAACAATATAGTAGTTTTGCAAGACTGGCCATCCAGAAGCCCAGAATTAAACATTATTGAAAATTTGTGGGCTTACTTAAAAAACAGGTTGCAAACCCATGTTTTCCAGACAAAAGATGATTAGAGGGCAGTAGAGGAGGAATTTAATAACATACCAAATTGGTATATTACAAATTTATACAAAAGCTTCCATAAAAGAGCAAGATTATGTCAGAAAAATAAAGGATATAATATAAGGTATTAAAGAAAAAGAAAAAGTGATTACATTCCATTGTCCTAGGAATTCAAGTTTACTTACCTATTAAAGGGTAAATAGCCCAATAAAGAGAGAATTTAGTGCATTTAAGATATTAATTCTTCATCCAAAAGTATGAAAACATGTGATTCAAATTCTTGTTGTCTATAAATAGAATTCTTTGGTCAATATTTTCATACAAAATATTTTTCTACTCTTTTAGAAATTTTATACTTTTGAAAATCTAAACAAAGGCTCTTATTATTTTCAACATTCCAAATATTTTAGCCAAGTTTCTGTTCCAAAATGCTTAGATATATCATTTCCGGTTATATGTTTCAACAAATTAAAATGGACTCTTTAAACAATCTCTAAGACACGTACTTTTCTTTTAGGACAAAGAATATCTGATACTTATGCTGATAACTCTACTTTGGTTTGAAAACCAAATGAGATTTACAGTTACCTTGACATATTACAGTACCTTGACATTGGCGACAATAAAATACCGCCATTGTCATTTTTCGGCAAGATATTGAAATGCAGGCACGTGAGATATGTTGACTTTTCTTCTTCAAACATTCAAACAATTAAACGAAACGATTTTGAAATTTTGAAAGAATTCAAAATATTAAAAATGTGAAAATGTCGAATTTCTTTTATTGAAGAAAATTCTTTTGAATCACTTAAAAATTTACAGTTTTTGTTTTTAAATAAATCAGCGATTTCATTTTTTGAATTAAAGAATGTTTTATCTGGAATTGGTATTGTAGGCCTACTTGGAAATACCTTATCAATTTCTATCAATTAGTTAATAAATAAAAATGTTAGATATTTCCAAATACTTTTAACATTTAGTGATCTCATTACCTCGTACTACATATTGACAATTGGTGCAATTGATGCATATTATTCGTTCTCTTATGTGGGGCATGACCTATCTTTGAGAAATATTAAACTTTGTCAATCAAAAAATGTTATCTCTTAAGATATTTATTTAAATTTACATCCGGTTTTTCTTTCTATTTTCAATTTAAGGAATTTTAACATTATTTTATAGTATTGATATAAATAATACTAATCTAAGTTTGCTGGTATGATTTTTATTGCCTTTAAATTCAATTTTAAATCCATTCCGTTATACTTTTGGTGAATATTTAAACTATAAGAGAAAGTTGGAAAAAAGAAATTACTGAAGATATGTTGAAAATTTTTCTCTTTCTATTTATTTAAAGACAAAAAATAGCAAATTGAATTTTTTACTGAAATTGAATGAAATTTTTGAAAAAAGTATTTTTTAGCATTATTTTGCTGTTCTCTTAATCAAGCTTCTACTTTTTGTAGGAATTTATCTGATAACCTTTTCCTTTTATGTTTTGCAGTTGTCAAAGAGAAATTATCATTTAAATATTATCAGAATTGGCGATAAATCCAAACAAATCGAAAACGTAGACATTTTTTCACTTGGTATGATTATTAAGGGACTTTTGCTAAAAAGGCAAATTGAAAGCTTATGATAGACTATAAAAATAATGGACTATGATGGAAAAACCCTGTTTGAGTACATCTAGCATTTGAATGGGACGGCTCTAAGTAGAATAAATGGACATCTTATTCCTTTCAGCTATTGTTCTATCCAAAAAACTCAAGTCCTAAACTTTTTGTAATCTATTATACAACATATATTGTTGCCTAATAATGAAATTTTTGAGATATTTGACCTTTTGAGCTTTTATTTACTGATTATATCCTATCGATAAGTTATAATACCAGTAATAAAATATATCTTATCTTACTGTCCTTATCAGTTTAGCCAAGTTGCTGAGATGATAGGAAGTAACTAAGTATTTAATTCGAAGAAATCATTACCTACAACGGTCACATTGCTTACAGGTATAAACGTCTTTTACCATTGCTTATATAAAATATCTTATTTGGTTGTAAAATACTTGTCACGTGACACTTCTGTTGGAAAAGAATTCTCTTATTTAAAATTTATTATATAAAATATGTCAGATGAATTACATGTTTGTTAGGTAATATTTAAATTAAAAAAAAAAGAGATGCTCTATTTTAACACGTGACTTTTAAAATTAAAAGTAATACTGGATATTGAATATAAATGATGATATTATTTTTCTTTTTATTCAATAGAAACATGTGGATTTTTAATTTGTTTGTTAAAGTAATAAAATTAAATATGGATGAGAATTTGGCTTCAAAACCACCAAAAATAGTAAATGATTCAAATGTAATAGTAAGAGATGGAAAGCAATCGGACAAGGATGGAATCAATTATATCATTTCTCAAGGTTTTATGGAAGATGTTCTATTTATTATTGGAAAGACAAACGATGTAGAAAAAGATGAAAAAGCTTGCCTTAGTATGGTGAATAGTATTAAAAAAGACGTTAAAGATGTGCTAGTTGCTGAAAAAAATGGTAAAATAGTTGGAATATGCGAAATGAAATATTCAAAGTTTATATTTTATTTAAATATTTAAATTTTTAAATTTTTTTAAAAATTGAAATTTTTTTTAGTACTAAAGATAATGACGATAATGCTGCAAAGGAATTTTCACTTTTAACAAAATTAAAATGTTTTCTATCATTTGGAATGTCTGAGCATTTGCTGAAATTGGAAGATGGAGAATGTCATTTAAATTTATTAGCTGTTGATAAAGAATTGAGGGGTAATGGAGTCGGTAAAATTCTATTACACTCTGCTCATCAAGAAGCAATAAGAAGAGGATTCCGAGTTAGTAAAATGATGAACAGAACAGAAATTTCTATAGCAGAATAAAATATGTTCCTTTTTTTCTTTACTTTCAGAAAATCTTTCTCTTTGTTTATCTTGAAAATTTTCAAGGTAAAAGACTGTACGAAAGTTTTGGCTACTTGCCAAAAACACTTTTTATCATTAATAAATACTTTGCTTTTGGCAACAAGGTTTTTTATATTATTTTATTAATATTTATTTTTTTAAATATTAGTTAATTTCATGCTTCTTCCCTTTTTTTTCATTTGCAGGGAGGTTACAAAATGGAAAAGAAACTTTAAGTTATTCATTTTTAAATATTTAAATTTTTAATTTAAAAACTACTCAATAAGTGCAATTGTAATAAAAGAAGAAATTATGTAATTGTAAAGAAATGATTGAAAATAAAATGGTTAAGTAGAAGAAGAATAAATTTATTTCATTTCTTTTTGATGAACCACCTGAAAAAAATGGATATATTTGAATTTGTTTAAACTAACTTGTTGACTTTGTAAATGATACAAAAATTATCATTTCCATCTTTACAACTTTAATTGACAATAGAAATCTTCATTATTTATATCCCAAATTGCAGTAATTGAACTATTTAATTCAACTATTCCATCAGTAAAGGTTATAGTAGAAAATGAGCTAATCAGTCTATCTTTTTCTTTATAACTTCAAAATTTAGAGTAGAGTGGATGAGCCCCATAAATTAAATTCGGGGTCGACAGAAAACGTCAGCAAATGAGAAATTTCAAGACAAAAATTTGGATTGAGAAATGGTTAGGAAGAAGAAGAGAGCAACTGATTTGTACTTAGGAGGGTCTCCTCTAAGGGTTAGGGCTAATGGAAAAGGTTAGGTACAGCTAAGGGCTGGGTTAGGGTTAGGGTAAAAGCACTCATTTGTGGACATTTTCTGTCGCATCCAGAATTTGTTTGAAATTTTGTTTAAAAATGACTTAATAAGTGGAAAAAGATTTTTGTTTAATTACCATATAAGGCTATTGCAGTTGTCTTAGAATCAGCACTAGTACCATCAGATACTGTTGCATTTATTATAAAACCATCAATCTGTTTGAATGGAATTTTTGTCAAATTTATACAGTACCGGCGGTAAGTCACTGTTACACCTCAAAAAAATAATATTTTCTTGATTTTTTCTCTTTCCGCGCCTAAAGAATGAAAATGAAGGATATTATTATATTTAATAATATTCTTCTTATCATTATAGAAAGAAAATATATGTTTTTAATTTAAAATCTCAGAAATATGATCACTTTAATGTGATAGGCCTACTTATGGAAAAGCACAAGCATCAGTTATGTTCAAAAAATTTACCCTGATCATTGAGTAGTGTCACTTTTAACCAGATTTTAAGGTCATTTATGTGTTTGCACATGTGTAATCTAACAGTTGAAAAATTTAAAATAAAAATGGTGAAGCTATCTGAAGCAACAAGAATTTCTATCTTAAATTGTCTTCAAAGACCAGAAATGTCCATTCAAAAAGTGGCAAAGCTTTTTAAATGTAGTCCAACTACTGTACAAAATATAAAAAATAAATTTGAAGAGCTAAAAATGATAAAAGATAAGCAAAGAAGTGGTAGACCAAAAAAAGTGACACCAAAGATGGAAAGGCAAATTACCAGGGCATCTAAATCAAACCCGAAGTGGACAGCCCATCAGGTATTATATAATTCTGGTATACCAATATCTCTTTCTCTAACAACAGTGAAGCAGGTACTACAAAAAAATAACTTAAATGGGAGAATTGCAGCCAAAAAACCTGCTTTATCTAAGAGGCAGATAATAAGTAGGAAAGAGTTCTGTAGAGAGAGAAAAAACTGGGGGATTGAAAATTGGAAAAAAGTAGTTTTTTCTGATGAATCAAAGGTTGAGCTGCATCCTAGGAGAAGGGAGTTTGTTAGGAGGCCACCAGGTAAACGGAATGACCCCAAATATACCACAAAAACAGTAAAATTTGGGGGAGGGAATATAATGGTGTTTGGCTACATTAAGTTCAATGGAGATAGGGGCCTAGCTTTAGTGTCTAATCGCATGACAGCTTTGGATTATGTCAAAATTTTGAGCAGTCATGTTGTCCCAAATTATAGGAGAGGGGAAATTTTCCAGCAGGATGGGGCTAGCTGTCATACAGCAGCCAGAACAAAAGCGTACCTTGAGAGAAAGGGAGTAGAAACACTGGATCCATGGCCAGCAAACAGCCCAGACCTGAACATAATTGAGCAAATATGGGGCATATGCAAAAAACATTTAATGGCACATAAGCCAAGAAACAAGGATGAGCTGTGGGAGATGTTCAGAGAGGAATTTTATAAAATTTCAGAATTGGAAATTCAATTCTTATATGAGACAATGGAAAGAAGGCTTAGGGCAGTTGTAGAAGCTAAGGGTATGCACACAAACTATTAAGACATTAAAAAATATAATATCCTGTAAATAACAGTCAAAATAAGAACAAAAAAATACTTTTAATATTCTTTTAGAGTAATTTTTGTGATTGTAACAAGTACTTATGCTCCCATAGAAAATAGGCCTACCACATTAAAATATCAATAATTCAGAGATTTGAAATGAAAAACATATATTTTCTCTCTATAATGATAAGAAGAATATTACTAAATATAATAATATCCTTCATTTTCATTCTTTAAGTATGGAAAGAGAAAAAATCAAGAAAATATTATTTTTTTGAGGTGTAACAGTGACTTACCGCCGGTACTGTATTGCATTAATCGTTAACTGATCTTTTGACATTGTTAACTCTGAATAGATATGTTGAACTTTTTCCGCCAGGTGTCGCTTGCCATCTATTTTTGTAACAATCAGTAAAATTAGGAGTTTTATAAATTAGCTGATTAACATCACTCACTATAAAGTCTTTCTAATTGAATTCCATTAATTTCTATAATTTATAAAACAAAATTTTTTTATGATTTCCTTTTTCTAGTGGAAATTTCAATACGAAATGTTTACTGCTTAAATCGTATTGTATATTCAACTTTTCAACAAGTTTAGAAACAACCCGACTAGGAGTTTGATAAATTTGTACTGAAAACCATGAAATATCTAATTAACATTTGTCAACATTATCATAATTATCATTACAAATTAGATAATTATTTTTACATGCAGAAATTTCTGTCACAATATTTAAAAGTGAAAAAATAAACATAAATTTTTTATCCATATTTTTATTTATATCTTCTTTTATCTATCTTTCAACTACAGCTTGACACTGTAACCTGTGTTTATAGGGATTGCATCTATTTGTACTACATTTTGCGCATGCGCAAAAAAAAACCTTTACACTTTCTAATTATAAGCGGATTATTTTAAAGTTTAGGAGTTGTTATCAGCTAAGTAATATAGAAGTCGGAATAGCTTATTAATACTATGATTATAGACCTATTGTTCTGAATGAAGACCTAACTACTTGGTTTTGTCGGAGAGATTTCAATCCATTTCTAATCAGAAAATCCTTCCACTTGGGCGAATGTTATTCATAATGATTTGAATATGCTCATACGAATATATTTGAATGGTCCACAATAATGTTATTTTGCTATTTTATAATAAAATAATTCTAAGTAGAGAATTGAGTTCATTCTTCAAGTAATTCCATGAAAGTTTTTTCACTTTGGAATTAGGCCTAAAGCTGTTTATAATGTTTAATGGTATACTATATGGACCCTTTCACCATTTTAGATGTATTTTGTAAAATAGCCCTATTCAAAGATAAATTTTATTAATCTTATAGGCATATTTTATGTCTTTAAAAGATGATCTTAAATAATTAAAATATACCTTTATCTTATTTATTTTTAGAATATTCTAATTTAAACAATGAAAATGATGTTGTTATGAAATTTACTTTAGGCCTATATACTTGGGAATAAACAGTATAATTTGTGAAACAATGAATTATGATTTTACGATTTTTATATACTTAATCAATTTTATGATAATGTATCTAAAAAACAGTAATTTAGGCTTACAACTCCCTCCTATAAATGATGTGATATTTACAAAGGAGGATGGTAGGTCAGCTGCAAATTGATAGTGCTCAGAAATATCTAGGTTAAAGGGAGAGGGAATATTTCTTATTTATGAAATTTTTTCTTATATTACATTGAGTAGTTAAAATATTCAAGCAACTACTTTTTTCTCTATTTCTCTTAAATAAGAATGATAATTCTCTGGGTAGTTAGTTTTGTGTAAGAAGAGGCCATCGGAAAAGGGCTGACTATATTAGTGAACATTTTTTATCCTAACATTCTGTTGCTATATTTTCCAATTGAGGGGAGATTATCAACAAATCCAAATTTCAATTTTAATACACATCAATCTCTTTGAGTGAATGAACTCTTTAAGCAGTTTGATATGGACAAACAGTAAGACAAATCTGAAAGAATTGTACTTGAATAATACAACTCTACCTCGAAATTATTTGCATAATATAATGAAAGATCTAAGTAGGTTAAGAAAAATATTGGGTTTATATCACAAAGTTTGATGTTTCACAAAGAAATATTCCAAGAATACTGTTGAATGTTTTTCTGAGAAATCTGCACTGACAGTTCCTGTATTGATTTTATTGCATCGTTTAATCTGCGAATTGTCATACGGATTAGAGCAGTAGTATGCATTCTTGGAAATATTCGAAAAACTGGTGTTAAAGGTGGATTCTATAGTATAAGCAAGACACAGTAAACAACAGACATATCAGAGTTCACAGACACCAGGGTAGGAAGAAATCCATGGAGTTCCATAAACCTGATTCTCTTCCTCATCAGAAGGTTCAAATGGCTAAATTAGACAGTTTCAGAAAAAAAATATTCTTTATCATAGTCCTAAAGGTGTGGTTTTGCTGACACGTGACGTTCTTTTTAAAAGAATTAATAACAACGGCAACTTATTATTATAATTTTTAAAAGATTCTGTTTATTTGATTCAAAAATATAGGCCTATTTACAGAGAATTATGACAAGAGGATATTGATCAAGATTCAGGCAAATGTTCTTTAAATAGTCTTTTCTAGCATATCAATCTAAACACATACTTTCGTCTAAATATTCATCTAGCAAAATGAGATCATTCGTTAACAGGCTTAGATCATTAATACTCACTTCCGGTTTTGAAATGGTAGGGTGAAACCAAAATTCTTTCATTATATCGCCAGCGAATATCGTTGTGTAATAGTCTTTAACGGTAGGCCTCCATTTCCCCGCGTTGTACGTTTCCATAGACATAAATGATAGAAAATTGACGATGTCATTCATCCTTCCAATGAAATTGTTTCCATGGATATTCTGTAAATATCTAGTAAAGCCTAGAATGATTTTATCATAGTAGTGTTGAAATTGTGGATATTTGTCATTAGGTTTTAATAGGGTGAGCAAAATGATAAGAGTTAGTTCTTCAAATGTTGGATTTAATGTGGAAAATTTTTCAAAGATGTTCATCTTCATCTTTGAATCTCTCTTATCTAGAAGATAATCTATTGATCTACGAGATACAAGTATACTTTGATTATTGAGCGTTAACGTAAGGTCTTCTTTGCTCCATCTATGGATATTAAATGCTACAATAGTGACGTAAATTAAGTCGCTATGGCTGCAAAGATGGCTGAAAATTTCATCCTCTGATAGATCGTGTAATCCTGGTATTTTTCTTGAATACTTCGTCCATCTTTTAACATTGTATTCAATGATTTGTTGAACGGATCCAGAGAATTGTCTTCTATTGTCTACCTCTAATCCTGATAGACAGAAGATATCATGATACTGTTCCAAAGGATAAGAGATACTGTTAATTCCTTCTTTTGCAGCTTGGAGAAGACTGTCTAAATGAGGGAAATCCTTCTCCCAGTCGATGTTTTGAATATCTGATATAATATTGCAGCATCCCATCAATATTTCATCAGCATCCGTAAAATTAGGCAAAGCTGGTATAGAACACATCATCATATTCTTCTTTTCTGTAACTTCCGCTATTCTTTCACAAGTTACCTGTTTCTTCTCGCGAGAGTAACGCCCGTGTCTTATGTAATTTAATGACATTCCAACGCCTAAACACTTATTAAATCTGCAATAGCGGCAAGCGAAAATTCCGTCTCTATCCGGATTGCAGTTTTTTCTTCTCTTACACTTGTAGAGATGGTGTTTTTTCGCACTTCTTTTAAAGAACACTTTACACGCTTCGCAGGTGAACACACCATAATGGCATCTGATTAAGGTTGATTGAAATCTCTCAATAAGTAGGTCACTATCTAAATATATAGTAATATTTACCCCGTAGAAGGACTACCGCAAACAGAACACGGAAGAAGTGTCTTTCTTTCCATTTCAAAAATTTCCTCCGAATTAATAACGAACTTCCTCTGTTCCAGTTCCATCTTTTAATCGTCTGCTATCCTCTAAAAATCCCTAACTACGTAGATAAATACGTTTTCCTCAAATGTAAAGTGTCAGCTCGCCAGTCGAATGATAACAATAAACACTCAATTCACCAATATGAATAGTGTAATATTGATTTCTTCATTCACAAAGGCCTATTGTATTGTGATTATAAAAGGTAGTAGGGCTCCCTGTCGAAGCCGTATAGAATTTAAGTAGAAGAACTACTTGCTGTATTATTCCTTGATTATTTCTAAGGTGCCAATTCTAATAAAATGTCTGTCATTTTTTCACATATAAGTGATTTTACCTTTGCATTCCTAACAGAAGTTTAGGCCTAATATTGCATCTAAAATATCGCAAAGTTTAAATATTTCTAACCCCTTAAATAACAAACAGAAACAATCAAGTGAGAGAGAGAGAGAGAGAGAGAGAGAGAGAGCCAGTCGAAAATTCCAACTGACCATATTATACTGGAAAGACATAAAGTGGATAAATATCTCTTTTGGTTTTGAATGAACCAGTGTTTATTATGAAAGAATTAATTTCATTTTTTTACCCATAAATGTACTTATTTGACCTTTAAACAGGAATAGATGACAGTAAAGAAACTAAAGTCATTGCAACAGAAATGATGATTATAATAATGTTTTGGTTCCACTGAGCAGAACTGTTTTTTGTTGCACATTAAAGATACTTTTCTAGTTGATTTTAATGATTCGCATTGACTTATCTTGTTAGTTGATAAGATACTCTTTAAGTGTTGCTTGGTGCAACTTATCCAATCATCTTCTCTGTTTCCATAAAATACATGTTCAATATGAATTATTGACTTGACTGGACATTTTATACTAGCAATTTGATGTTTACAAACAATTAATGGAATATTATCTAGAAAGAGAGAAAAGAAAAGTTAAAAACTATTTTTAGACAAAAAAGACACTTACAATAAATAAAACTAGTAGGCGTTGTCTTCATTGTTGCAGTTGTTGCAGCTGTTGATTCTATTTGATCGAATTCATGACAAATATATTTTACTTCTAAATATTTAGTAATTCCTTTACATGGATCACCAAATACCGAGTTTTTTGCTTTTATACTACATTTCTCTTTATTATTACATAATTGACCTACTTTTAAGTAGGAATGTGATGAATTGCAATCATTATGAGAAAGTTTTTTCCATTTCTTATGTGACAACATCTGATGATCATTACGATATCTTCCATATAAAGCTGATATAATCTCAATAAATTGTCCATTTGAACAAGCCAAATGAAGTGTTCTATGTTCGTTAACAATTTTCGTTTTTAGACCTACCAGTTTCGATTTGCATTCATAAATAACTGATAAATATTTATGTATTCCAACACAAGGATCTCCAAAAACTTTATTCGAAGCTTTGATTGAACAAAATCTTCTACCATTGCATTTTTGCTTTAGTTATCATTTCGGAATTTTTTGCTTTACAAACTCTACTTAAAATCTGTTTACGAAATGGAGAGAAACTTAAAGATTTCTTATAACACATTTTTCGATCTACCATAAATGGCAGTTTGTATTGAAATTTCCTCATTAATAGGACATTGGATATTTAATGTAAGATGTTCACAAACTGTTTTTGAGCGTTTAACGGCAGCTTTTAAGAAAAGAAACAAATGACTAATAATTATAAAACTTGTATAAAAACATTAAAAACAAAGATAAAAATCACCTTACCAGAAAGTTGAATTTCAAACGAAAGAAATAGAATTAAAGAAGAAAAGAGAATCTTTGTAAAAAATACCATAATTGAATAAAGAAAAGAAGGGAGGAGGATATTATCAGGATACTCTCTCTATATATATATGGATTCCATTCCTCATGACGAGATAATTATTATAATAATTGCAGCTATAATTAAGCATACACACCAATTTGTGAAAATAATTAGCATTTTCTGCGAAATACTGTATATACATTTTGTTATGGTCATTAACGACCCTTCACCTCTCTAGGCTTAGTTTGTACTAATCCCGATTGATTGGTTTAATGAAGCAGAATCAGCAAAATTTTAAATGTTGTGTCATTAATACACTAATGACAATATATAGCTATTACACACCATCTCTCGGAGAGAGAGAAATGTTTTATTTATCTTTTTCCCTAGTTTTGTTTTCATTCGAGAATAATAAAAGTGAACTTTAATCAGTTGTCTTCAACATTCTTAGCTTGAATATCAATGCTACAGGAAATAAATAGCTTACAGTTACATAGTTGTTTGAAACTGTATTGAATTTTCAATATTTTCATATAGAAAACAATGCTACACACCAAAAATTTTGTCTTTGACTCTATATGGCCTTTGTGGTTGGATACACACAATGCTAATCTTAACCCTTCATTTAAAATAGTCCTGAGTTAAGCCTATGTTTTTTAAGAAAAAAATGTTTTTGAAGCAGGCAAGCGTACCTTTTGAATACTTCTTTAGTATTTCAATATTGTGGCCATTTTCTGTCAAATTCGAAACAAACACGTGATAGAAATTAGAATAAGATCAACGCAAATTTGAGCTATCGCTATTACTATTCATTCTTTTATTGTTGTTCTTAGTGGAGCAAAACGAAAAAGTTTATCTCATTATATGAAATTTTAGCTTATCGACAGATGCAATTCTTTTTCAAAGGTTGTTGACGAATCACGTGACTTATAACCTTATCGCAAAATGTGGATTTTCCAAGTCAATATAAGAAAATAAAGACCACAATATATTCAAAATAAGCAGATACGAACAAGGTGAAGCAGGTGAGTTCTTTGTTAAGAATTTTATATAAATAAAATTTCTTGTTTTTTCTAAATTTACCTACTGCAAAGGTGCTGTACAAGGCATATCAATGGCTGAAGAATTAGTTAAAGTATATTCTTTCTTTATCAATTTGGAATTTTATCCAAATAATTCAAATTTTCCTCTTTTAGGGATTTTCTCAACGTACTCAACTTATCATTTTAATAAGTGGGCGCTATTTCTTAAATTTCTATTATTCTATTGTTTACACGATCTTTTCTTATCTTTAAAGATAAAAATGACTATAGCACGGAATTGAATATTCAAGGATTATCTAATCTGTGTGATTCTACTGAAAAATGGATGATTGACTGTCCAAGAGAATTTGAATTAAAAGTCGAAAATTTAAAGAGAAATTCAAAAAATGTTGATCGATTTATCTTCTTTGCTCTCTCACTAGAAGGTTTTCATTATATTATTAACTAGACAATCTACTCTTTCGTCTCTTTGAAGGTTCGAAATCAGAATATAAGTTATTTAACGAATTTCAAAAGAAGATTAATGAGGATAATTGTAATGTACTTCAAAATAAACAAAAATTATTCATCATCCCAAATTATGAAGAAGGTGAGCGCTTTGTCAATAATTTTCCCTCAACTTTTCTTTATCACAACAAGCAGATTATGATCTCAAATTGCAGTTTGAGATTCTAAAATTTTCACACCAAATGCCTGGCATTGGAGCTGATAGAAAATCAATATCATTTGTGGAATCTTCTCCAGGTTCTTAACTTATTTCTTATTCAAAGAAGGGGAATTTCTATTCTAAATTAGAATTTATTCTATAGAGGAATGGATAAAAGAAGTTGCAAAAAAACTGTTTAATGAAGATAGAGTTCCTTCTCTAAGGATACTATACACTACTGGTAATGAAAATACAAAATTTTACGCAACACCTGAAAAGCTAGAAAAAGAATACGAAAATACAAACATGGTGGAAGCAAAAAAGAATATTTCTCTTTCTTTTGAATATTTTAACTATTCAAATAAAGAGGTCTTTACAATGAATTATGAAAATAAGCTGAGCAAAGGTTATTTCTTTTTTATACAATCCCTTCGTTCAATCTTTCATTCAAAATTACAGCTATGAAAAATGTTAAGGATACAATGAATAATTTTTTAAGTTGTTATTGCTTTTCAACAAAAAGAGAAATATCTCTTCTATTCGCTGATAGTAAACGTCATTCTATTCAAAATATCTAAATCATTATATTCTTATCTTTCCTTTCCAAAAAAGTTTCTTCTACATCTGAAGTTCTCCAAAACAAAGATCCCAAGCAGCTTTCGGCATATTTATTTAAAAAAAAAGCGGAAATAGAAAGTTGTAGTTGTCGGAAATGCAAATGTTTAATTGATGAATTGAGAAGGAAGGTGAATGATACATTCATGTTCTGGAACGAGGACAGTATCAGAATTATTCTATGGTTAGATGGAAAGGATAGAACGAAAAAAACAGAGTTTAAAACCGCCTACGATTTTGGATTCATTCTAGATACAACTCAATTAGATTCTTTCGATGAATCTGTGTTAGTTGTTACAATAAAAAAAACTGAAAGTTGTATTTTTCCAAGACAAATATCAAATCATTTTGGCTGGATTATTGTACCCGCTTTCGATTATAATACAGACCATGTTGAACTACTGAAAAACGGTGTTTTAATTGAGCATCAATCAAACTATGTTCCTCTCCTCGACGGTACTCTTAACAATTACCTCTTTCCAATTGAAAGTGGAGAAAATGATAAAGGAGAGTTGACACTTTTGTTATGCATTCAAGCAGAATATGTAGGAGAAAATTTTATGGGTTGCAATTTATCAATCAGACACGAAAAGAATAGTATAAACTCTTTGAAAAATCTTGTCTATTTGAAGGATTTCAAATTGAGTCAAATGAAAGATACTTGGATTCGGATTCGAATTAATGGAGACTTGAATTTTACAGTCTCATCTATAAATTATTTATCAAAGGGAATTATTTACAACAAGCAATTTTATATTGAAAAAATAGATAATTTAGAAATTCGAATGGAAACTAAAAATAAGAAATTGATTTGTGATACTTGTCCAGTGTTAAATAGGTTGAATAATGATATTAATTCATTTTCAACAGCTCTTTTTACTGGTGAAGAATTGCAATTAAATGCTGAAAATTCATTAATAATCTTTCCAAAAAAATCATATCAAAAATCAACTGTTGTTTCCATCCAGGAAAATTATTCATTTATTGAAGAGAATGATTATATTCTACTTAAAAGTTCTATTGATTGTAAACCGGATGGAAAATTACAAGAAGAAATCATGGCAAAATTATTTTTGAATCCTATTTTTAAGTCTAAAGATATAAAATCAAACAAATTTAAATATTTAAAGTCTGATTTGATTGTTGCAAATTTGAATCATTTTTCCCCACACGATTTTTCCAATATTAGCAATGATGGAATGAGGCTTAATGTATCTTGTTCTATTGAAATAGCAGATCCTAGCTGTGTCAAATTTTCTATTCATTTTAGTTTAAAGACTGAAGTTAGTATACCGGTTTTCACTAAATTTATATACATATATTCTCTTTTCTAATTTTAGGAAGTTACAAATGTTCATTTGGAAACGAATGAGATAACACTTCAAAAATTAAATAGTGAGGTGTCATCTACAAATGATCTGCGGGTAACAGTGAAAGGAGAGGGATTTTCAAAAGTCTCTTCCAGAAACTCCAAAGAAATATTTGATTGTTTTAAGCTAGGTTTTTAAAAAAAGAAAAAAAAACAATTCTGATAGACCTAATTCCATCATTCATTGATTTTATTTAGGTAATAAATGTTCTTTTGCGGTTTACCTAAAACGTGAAAATATAAATGATGGGGGAATAATAATCATTGAAAGCGGAGATTCAAAAGAAGGAATTATTTCAAGAAATTGGCAGTTCAAAGATAATTTTTTCAGTCTGCCAAAAGAAAAATTTTCAAAACAATGCATTTTGGGATATTATTCAGAAAATGGTGAGAATAGACACCAAAATAAGTGGAGATTAGCTAATTAATATTCAGTTTTTCTGCAAATTATATTTCTTTTTAGATAAACCACAACTTCAACACCAGGAAAACTTTGAATGTGAAAAGAAATTTGAGAAAATGCGGAAATGCTTGAATGATAAAGTTGAATATATTTTCATTTATTTTACAAAACATAATATATTTGTCTTTCACAGGATTCATATAGTGCTTATAATGAAACTGTGGTTTTCTTTTTATCTTTAGATGAAGATCAAACAAATTTTCAAAAAGATTTTTTGAATTTAAAAGGATTTTTTAATTTTTTAGAGTTTGAAATTCAATCTTTAGATTTCACAAAAGATCTTTCTGCACAAATGACAAAGAATTTAAAACAATGTTTAGAAAGAAAATCTTTAATATTTTTTATTCAGTCAAGTGGAAATTCAGATATTAAAAAATGTAATGAAATCATGAATAAATTAAATATTAATGATTTTGATGAGCAACCCAAAATGTTTTTTTTTCAATTTTATACAAAAAGTGAAGGTTGTACTTTGAAAGAGATTGTTATGTTCTTTTTTTTCTAATTGTATATACTTTTAGCTACTCGCTCTGGCTCAGATGGCTTTGTGCATATTTCGAGTAAGAAGCCACAGGAACAAGCCGGAAATAAAGAAATGAATGTTTCGATTTCAAGTAATAAAAAAATTAATGAATATCAAAAAATACCATATTTTGTGAAAGATTTTTAAGTTTTATGGTTTTTTTCTTCTTATTTTTAAAGTTGAAAGAACAAACATCGAACGCCAACTTTTATCAGGAAAAACCAATACTTTTGTTAAAATTACAAATATTTCTGGTGAATTTTATTCTGACCTGAATTTAGTAATATCCACTTTTCTGTAATTTTTTTTACAAATTTCAGAGGACTGCAATTACCTAAAGAATAGTGGAAGTATTTTTGTAAAAGGTTTAATACTATCAATAAAATACTGCAATTATTGCGAACCACTGCGAAAGATAATGGAATTAACTGATATAACATATCAGTCAAAACAGAAAAATATATCAGACAATGAAGATTTTCAACTGCAAACTAATGATTTTAAAAATTATTATTTCCTACCAGTTAATTTAATTACTATGGATAATTTATTATTAACAGAATTTACCAAATACGGTATAATTTATAAATTACGTTTTTTATTTATATTTATTTTCGATTTAATAAACAAAGAAAGCGAAAAGAAAATTCCTTTTGATCTACACACAAGAAATTTTAGTAATGACAAAGCATATCATGAAAGACTTGGTCATAAGGTTTTTATAACACAACTCAATAATATTTTTTAAAGCTTTCTCTTTCTTTTTCCACAGAAACTTTACTATGAGTTTCAAACTGTAAAAGTTGTCATTTTTAATGATTCAGAAGGTAAGTTGAAAGGGTAAGTTAGGATACCAGTCTAAAAAAGTCTTTTTTTTGCAGGTAGAGAAGGAAGTGAATACGATGTAGAAAATTTATCAAACATGTTTGAAACTCTTAATTACGACGTAGAAATATTGCAAGACCCAACGGAGAGTGATTTTAAGACGGCAATAATAAATTTGCAGTCTAAAATGGCGGAATTTGATTGTTTAATTTTCTTTATCATGGCTCATGGTGACAAAGATGGATTTGATTGTAAAAATATTCCTTTTCATTGGTGTGATTTCTTGTGTTTTTAATTATGTTTTTAATTACAGTACGTGGCAAACGTCTTTCTAGTTTCAAAGATTTAATGCTCTATTTCGATGATGTTAATTGCCCAAGTTTATTTTCAAAACCTAAAGTGTTCTTTTTCAATTGTTGCAGAGGTAAATATTTTTAAATATATTTTAATGTTATTTTAGATTAAGTGACAATTAGTTAAAAATATTTTAGATAGAAAATTTTAGAGAAAATGTCCACAGTTTGCGTTTTTATCCCATCTCTAACATAGTAATGAAACAAATAAATTTAAGATTTCCCTGACCTTAGAAATACCCTAACCTAGGCCCAAAGTTGACTGTTTGTGGACGTTTTCTCCATCTACTAAACATTGTTTTATCACTTTTCAAATAGGAGACAAGCCTTTGAACAAAAGTGACTGTTCTACCAAAGACACAGATGGAAATTTACTAAGTAAAGTTATTAATAAACTGACAGGAAAATCAAAAAGTTTGGAAATGTCAGATTGTATTAAAATTTATTCAACAATAGAAGGTATTAATTTTGTTCAGTTTGTAATTAACCTTCTTATGAGTATTCAATTCAATTAGGCAAAATCAGTGAACGTTTACCTCATGGAAGTCTTTTTATACGCTGCTTTATTATCTGCATGAGAGTATATTCTCACAAACAATCTTTAACAGACATTATGGCGAGAGTCTATATGCTAATGAACATGAAAATTGCAACATATGGTTATAATGATTATAGGCAAATTCCCGAAACGTCCTTTTCTATGAGTAAATTCTTTTTCTTTGATGTGCCTAAAGCCTAAAACACTCATTTTGCTGCTTTGACATTAAATCCTCACAAACAATACAAGAAATACCTTGGAGTGTGACCCGAATAATCAATAAGTCTTGAGTTGTTTAGTTTAAAGTATAAATTTGAATTATGAATAAAGGATGAAATTCAACTATCCAGCTATGTTCAAGTTCCTACTATCTTCTCTATCAGTGCTCAACAAAGGCGTATTGAGTTTTTGTCTATCCCCAATTATTGACTATAATACCCGACTTATCCGACTTCCGGTTTAAAGAGATTTCTCTTTTTGAAATATTTTTTCTCAACTAATCAAATGAAAAATTTACAAATAAATGTATTATAAATAATATGGCTTGCTTAATTGTCTTAAAATGTCAACATGGAAGAGTATTTACTAAATGCATAGGCCAATTTACAACCGATATTTTCGTTTACAAATGTTGCATTTCACTTCTGAAGTATATTTTTGACAAGATAACCATATACATTGATATCATTGGAAATGTCCATTTCAGTTGACATTTCAGTTAAGATAAACTATTATATAAAGTGGACGACAGGAGTATATGGACACCATAAATTTTGATAGGCCAACTTTTAATTAACAGTTAAAATTGTTTGTCCGCTGCAAATTAGTATTTTTGTCTAAATTTATATAGAAAAAGAGTTAAATTGAGTTAAATATTATTGAAAAAAATTGAAGAAAATGATAATATTTTGTGAACATTATTAGCAAAAATTTTTAATAATTTTCATAAGTTTTTTCTTTATTTGGCCGCAATTAAGGGCAACAGCAAGAGTTTTAGGAATGGCACCATTAACAGTTAGTAACATCTTGAAATATAAGCAACCAGAACAAGACAATAGGGGTGGTTCAAAGAAGCTTTCCAACAGAGCGATAGCCAGGATGAAATGGATTGTGAAGAAACTGAAAGATAACAAGCAAAGAGTGACAGCAGCAAAGATATTAAAGGAATTAGAAGTAGATGTAAGCATCAGAACAATTTAGAGGGAGCTGAAAAGACAAAATTTCAAATACAAAAGAGTCAGACAAAGATTTGATCTCACCTCCACAGATTGTAAATGGAGAAAAGAATACTGCCTCAAATTTATTAGCAAAAATTTGGACTGGTCTAGGGTTATTTTTACTGATGAGACTAGGTTTTCGCTAAGTGGACCTGATGACTTTAGGACTTGGACCAGCAATAGTGAAAAGGACTTCAGGGTGATGAAAAATATGGGGAGAGGTGGAGTATTGGTGTGGGGGTTGATAACCTCTGATGGTGATTTGAAGTCTGGAGAATAAGGAGAAGGCTGAATGCAGAAAACTATAGCTCCTTCATTGTGGAAGATGTTCTGCCTGACAATGCTGGCTGTCACACTACAAAAGAAAACAAAAAGAGCCTTTAAAAACAATAACATCAAACCCATTGATTGGCCAGCAAGGAGCCCTGATCTCAGTCCAGTTGAGAACATGTGACACCTGACCAAGACAATGGTCTATAATGGCCCACAGTTCGAGCCAGAGGATGAACTGTGGGGAAAGATTAAGAAGTGCTGCTATGAGGTTATCAACAGAAATCTACTCTTGTTGCCAAGTTTATGTGAGGGAATGGGCTGTAGAATAAGCAAATGCATAGAAAGAGAGGGTGGGCACATACAGAAATAGACAAAAAATTCAACAATTTAACATTGTTCCAAAAAACATGTTGCGAGGCCAAATAAGAAATAAAAAATCAGAAAACTATTGTAATCTCTATTTAAAAAAATATGTAAAAACTTATGTAACTGCTGTTTTAAAGAAATTTATATAAAATTGCAAATTTAACCTATTTTTAAATGCTGAATAAATAAAAAAAATAATCTTTTTTCATAATGAAAAAGATTTTTAATATTTGCAATATAAAAATTTGAGGTGTTCCAATATTCCTGTCATTTACTTTATAGGATTACAAACATTCTCTCTGCTTTCCTTTCTTGAAGAGGAGAATAGTCTTAGATAAATGACTAATTAGATAAATATTTGAATTAACAAAGGAATTTAAGAGCAGGAACAAGTCTGCTATATAAACGTAGATATTTGTATTGTTAAAAGCGAGTATTTAAAAAATATAAAGAAAAATAAAGTAGGTTAAGGTCAAAGGTCAAAAAAAAAAAGATTTTAGCCGCTCTTAACAACAACAAGAGATGTTATTGTTATAACATAGAATAGAAAATGGCGCCCAAGTCAAAATGTTTGTCAGTTCAATAACAATTTTGGGATTTGACAGAAAATATCCCCAAATGCATGGTTTAACCCTAACCCTAGCCTAGCTCTTGTCTCTCTCTTTAACCTTTCTGATTGCTCCTAACCCTTAGATGGAACCCCCCTAACTATAAATCAAAAGCTACTTTACTCCTCCTAACTATTTTTCAATCCAAAATGTTGCTTTCAAAAATCTCATTTGGGGACGTTTTCTGTCGGCCACACAATTTTGTATTTGATAGTTTTGTCTTTGTATCAATTTTTAACCTCATGAGTAGTGTAAGACTTCTTGACAAAGCAATGTATCTTCACATAACAAATTACTATTGCTATATTAAACAATAGAACAAGAATTCCAAACATTACAAATGTGAAAACCATCCTTCGCTCTAATCTCCTTAGATATTTACATTCAAACAAATTTTTGTTCTTGAATGGAAATTCTATAAACAGATTATTGTTAAATTGAGGAAGTTAATAGGCCTATACGTTGTAAATGATGCTTGGTATTAATGGCACTAAAAATGTTACTATAATTGTTAAAGAAATGGATAGTTCCTTTCTTTTAAAGAACTGCCCTGAGTTACCATTATTCAATATTATTATAGGTTTTTCAATTGTCAATAACAGTAGACTGGTTGAAGAGAGGAATAGGCCTAAAAGTACGACATTTCCCAAAACGTTACAAGTAAGACTATACATCCATTTCTCGTCAAAATCTAGATAATTTTCACCTTAATAAAAGTCTACTATAAGAATTATTATGTAGAGCGAAGTAAAGAAATCTCCAAAAATATGAGTAGTTTGAAAAGAGACGGTTCTTTTATCATTCCTATTATTAGAGTGATAGCATTAACGATAATCCCGCAAAATCCGTATAGCCAGAATAGTACTCATATAAAATTTGAATTTAAGAGATTTGAGCAGGTTTGAAAAACAACAGCAATAGGCGTACAAACAGAACTATGATTGATATACTTCCGAGTCCAACAGCAAAACCAAACTTTAAATATATGCTATGCATTCTTCTAATTCTAGATAGGGAATTTATTACCAATTTCATCAGCCTCAATGGTAAATAAAATGTAGTCTGTCGGCTATAGAAAAAGAGATAAACCATTCTTTCTTCAACATTTAGAAAGTGTGTTATCCATTTTATCATTATCGAAAGGTGTATTTTCTTCTGAATTAAGTATTTATAAAAACTATTTTCTGAAAGTATAACTTTTGGAACATTAATGAATTAAAGTGCGTTTATTGGTTTGTTTTTAGCCAGTGGTATTGTATTCCTATCCCTGATATCTAATGTATAAAACCCCGTTTTCAAGACCCTGTAAATTGTTTTTGATACGCTTAAAAAATTGAATAAACATATTCAAAACCCTGTACTCGACAGTTATGTTTTAATGATGATGATGATAACGAAATCAAAGTTGAAGGGTCAACTACTAAGAAAATACTTACGGCAATTATCATTTAAATCATAGCAATCAAAATCACTTGAAGAAACAAAGAACTCTGGATTCAATTTTATTGAAAAACCATTCAATTCACAGTCTCCATTCAAATTATTATAGCTAAATGATCTATTAATTTAAAAAAATATCCTGAATTATCAATATTTTTCATTTTCCTTGAGACTTACTGGCATTTGTAATTATCATGGCAGAACTGTTGACAATCTTCAACTGTAGGAGAAGTTTTTGTCTCTAGATTGGTCCCATTCAGTTGTTTTCCTCCAAATTTCTTGTAAGTACACTCTAATTAAAGAAATAGTTTTAATTTTTTGAAATTTAGAAATAAACCAGAAAGCAGACCACATCCACCAAATTTTTCATAGTAAGAGTATCCTGCATGTTCCTCTATGGTTGACCCATATTTTGTCTTTGTTTTTAGGTAGCAAACATCACTTACAGTGATTAAAAATGACCTGGTTTATTTTGATATCAATATAATATATTAAGTTAATAAGACCTTTTGTCAATTTTACTTGCACAAAGGATATTTATCACAAAGTGACAAACATTTGTCCTTATCAGTACTCCCAATATAATAGGCATACGACTGTGGAGGAGTATATTTCCCATCTGTGAACTTGATATCAGGAAACAGAGTATAACTGCATTCTGCAATAAATTATATTTTTAAATAAAATAGTCGTTTTTTAAAACTTTTTAAAATGTAGATTACTTTCTGCTCTGAAAAGGAAAAACTGTTGAAAAAACCTTAATACTACAATTTGAGAAATTATGATATAATTCATCTTCATTGGTAAAGTTTTGTAATGCAGAATAGTGATATATATATATATATATAAAGCCCTTTGACAATTAACAAAGTCTTCCATTAACTTGCTTATGTTCATTATTCAAACTGGTATCTATTTAACTATTTGTTCATGATATCTATGTGACACAGCACAATAACACAATATAAAAGACTATTAGTGCAGTCTTTTTAAAATATGTTTTCCTTTCATTAATTATTATGTAGCTTACACAATTTGCGCCATTGTTTTAGGTTTTAAATTCACTTCTCTTAGACAATTTAGTACTCATTTATTATACAGTTTCTTTTTTTTCAACATCACGCGTAGAGGACAAATTTATCTATATATAACAAAAGTTCAATGACTTCTGTTGTAAGTGTTTTCGAGAAATGGTCTGCTAAATTTTATTATTCTTCTTAATATAAAAGTCATAATTCTTACATGCCATTGGATAATTCTAAAATTCAACCAAGCAGTCAATTATTCAAAATACATTATAACTAAAACCATTCTTGGTATCATTGTTACTTTGTTGTATCGTGATTGGGGGAATTTCATTCTCATCCCAAACAAAACTATCTGTATTGCTCATTTAATGATGCGCCAAAGTACTGGTCCAATTAGAACCTTAAGTTGGTCCACAAGTTTTAGCAAATAAATGAAATTTGTCCAAAGTTCTATATTGAACTTTCAACAGAGCGCCATTATTTTACCATATAAGATGTGTATTAAATATTCTGAGCTTTTATATCTAAGCAAACGATTTCAAAACTAAGCTAACAACTGTTCAATTTTTAGAGTTTATATACTTTGCTAAAAGTTTAACAGTTCACAATTTCAAAGTTCCAACAATGCAAAGTAATGTTGAACACAATTGAAAGTTCTATAAATGGTTCCTCATTTAATTGTTTCCATTCATCCTAAGTAATTAGGTTAGATAAAATTTAGGCAGTCAGCTTCTTTCATAAGATGTTACAATTTTGGTAACATTCAATTCAATCATTGAATGAGAGAAATTGGAACTGGTCCAAAACCTAATAATAGTCAACTTTGACCTTTTGGTACTTTTTAGCTGGTGATAGGTAGTTCTATCATTAATACTAAATTCATTATGCTTGTTTGTAAGAATTTTATATGTTTACACGCGTGCGACAATTTTGGTATGTATAAATAATAGTATTGTGTCTACCTCATACTCAAGTACAGAGTTTTCATCCACAATTTCGTATTAAAGTTTAAGATACTTTAAAAAATACTTTAATACAAGAAATAGAGATTATACAACAAAATGAAATTTGCCTTATATAAAAAGAAGGTATAAACACTATAGTTAACTTAAATAACACCAGATGGCGCAAAAACAATCATCAATATTTATTATGTTTTTACTCAAGTTGTTTTTTTTATTTAGTGAACCAATTTATTAATTTAAAAATTTACATGTAAAACCATAAAAATGGCGATGTATACTGTATATATACTGTAAATTGCATCTATACTACTCAGAATGTTTGTAAATCGATAGGTTATCAATTGTAATAAAAGATTCTATGTGATATAAATATCACAGTCTTCCTGCTTCATTTCCTAAAGTGGACTCTCGCTGAATAATTAGATTCTCCAACGTTATTTATTCTCTATTATTCCCACGAAATCTAATGCAACTGATATTTCTGATTTCAATCTTCAGTTTTTTGTGTTGAAATGATTTAGTAGATTTGTTAGTTCACAATATTCGAGGTGTTTTTCCAATGACCCCAGTGATCCAAGCCAAAGGCTGTCAACTCTATATAATTTAAATAACTGTCCTTCAAGTATATTCAATATTTTTGATGTAATCGACATTTCTTGTTGATCTCTTAATGTCATTTTTTATATTTAAACAAAAATTTTAAATTAGCTGTAATTGTAACAAAAGATTTTTAAAGTATATTCTGGCTCTTTTCTCAATGTCTTCTTTAAGAGTGTTGATATATACTATAAAAGAATTGGAGGTTTAATTGGGGGATATTGGACGAAAGAGATTCGAAAAAAATGACAATGTTCAGGTTTATGTGAAAGATATTAAAATAAATAATATTAATGTTTATGGTAAAATAAAAGGCAGATATTTAAATCATTGTATCTTATTAGCAGTTGACCAATTATCGTATCCTAAAATGTTGTCTGATTATGTTTTTTCATCTATCTTCTATAAATGCTAACAGTTCTCTAATAAACCTGCAATTGATCACTATTTCTTGCATATATTGCTAAAGAAATTGCTTCAGTTCAACTCCTTTAGTACAGAATTACAAGCCTTTTTTAATTTACATTATAAAAGAGATTGTTCTTCTGCTTTGAACTGTTTGACTTGTTGTAAAATATGTTTTATTGAATGAACATTCAAACTGGTTGGCATTCACTTTATCAACTTTTTCCTATCTATGGTTGTAATTAGAAAAATATTGAGTACCTTTGTCTATTATGCTTGTCTTAATGAGTGATGAAAGATAAGAAAACAATTCTAAAGATGTGGTTAAAAAAGACTGGATTACAAATGGATTTCACCATATTTCTACCAGTTTTTTCTATTGAAATAGAATATTTTACTTTTCCTGCTGCCTACAATAGTGATATTAGATGGATAAAAAGTTTGGAATATATATATTATTTTAGCATATGCAATATTCTTTTAAGACAATAAAAGGATTCAACATATAATTAATATATCTATTAAACATTTTTTTACACAGATATACTCCTTAGGGGACCGACAGAAAACGTCACCAAATGATATTTGAAAGCAACATTTTGGATTGAAAAATGATTGGGAGTGAAGTAGCGATTGGTTTGCAGCTAAGGAGATTCCATCTAAGGGTTAAGAGTAAGGATACGACAGAAAATGTCCACAAATCAGTGCTTTTACCCTAACCCTAACCTAGCCCTTAGCTGTACCTAACCTTTTCCATTAGCCCTAACCCTTAGAGGAGACCCTCCTAACTACAAATCAGTTGCTGTCTTCTTTTGCCTAACCATTTCTCAATCCAAATTTTTGTCTTGAAATTTCTCATTTGTCGACGTTTTCTGTCGACCCCAAGAGTAATCATAAAGGTTAGGGAGAGTCAAAGGCTAGGTTAGGGTTTTGCCAACGCTTTCTGTCGCATCCAAAAAATTTAATAAGCAAAAAAATGGTTTATTCTCTTTCTGTATGCATAGAACTTCGTAGGCTTGTTTAAGTATTCAGATTTCTCAATTTGAAATCACTTTTTTCTATTCTGTAGAGGGCTTTTGTCCAATTTGCTTGAAATTTGTCCAATGCAAATTTTGGTCTGTTGCTATGACAAAGAATCATGTCCAGACATGACATTCCAGACCTTACAAAAGAAGAAATATAAAGTAAGCTGAAATGCCTTGTGCAGAAAATTTTGCAATATGGTTTATATTAAACCTAAGAAGCTTATAAATTATTTTGTATTGTTATTTTGTTATAGACTTGAATGCAAACAATTTAGAGTTTAGGAATAACAATGGTGCTACTCTAGGGCATCAAAACCCTAACACCAAAATCTAACCTAGAACTTTTCTATCCAAAATCTAGATTTGAAATTTCTCTTTTATTGATCTGTCCTTTAATAAGGACACTCAATTCATACATATTCATTCTTCTACCATTGTTATTCCTAAACTCCTCCCAGTCTTGATATTAGGATTAAGAGAGAACCAATAAAAAAGAACACAATTATATACTATCACATGATCAGTTTTTCTTTGTGTAAATGGTAAATATTTTGTTTTAAATAAATGTCACATTGTTCATTTGCTGTTGAATTCAATGGAGTATGTATATGTGGGAGATGCAGTCCTGATAGTTTAGGTAAACATTACCTCAAACATCCGGTTACTGTAGGATGTATGGAAATTACAGATATACCAGATTGTAATGAATACACACTAAAATTAGCAGAAGGAGAATATATTTCAGTATGTAAGGAATGCAGTAATGGTAAAATAGTTTCTAAAGATGGTCAATCGTGCCTTTCTTGTGGACAATGTGACAATGGAATACATAAACTAAATTCTGAAGGAGATATATGTGAATGCACATGTTTAAATAAGGATGTATTGAACCCTAATTCAAATGGCTGTCTTGATTGTTCTTTAGCTCAAATTCCAGAATGTAAAACCTTTGAGTTCTTTGATGGTGGCTGTCTCTGTGTAGAATGTTTACCTCCTTATGAACGGACAAGCTATATTCAATGTATTAATTGTCAAAATGAAATAACATGTACTGGTGGAACAGCAGTATTGAATTCAGGAAATGAATGTGAATGCACATGTTCAAATAACACCTTATTGAACTCTAATTCAAATGGCTGTGTTATTTGTTCTTTAGATCAAATTCCAAACTGTAAAATTTTCAAGTTGGTCAATGATGTTTGTACATGTTCAGAATGTTTAGCTAATTATCAGCCACAGGGAAAAACACAGTGCATAATTAATACAAATGGTGGGGGTGAAGCCATTGCTAATTGTAAAGAATACAATAGCCCAACTGGGTCAACAACTGCTTCAGAATGTATAGAATGCAATTCTGGTTGGGCTCTTGAGCCTGCTTCCCCCTCATCAGCATCAAAATGTCATCAATGCCAGACTGGATGTAAATCATGTACTCTTGATGTAACTTCATCACCATCCACAGTTAATAAGTGCACTGAATGTTCATCAAGGTATGCTCTTAATAATGCTGGAACATGTATACAATGTCCATACAATTGTGGTGAATGCAGAGTTGATCCTGAAAATCAAAATAATGCTATATGCCTCTCTTTGGGATGCAGTTCAGGGGCTTTGAAAGATTCTGATTTCAGCTGTGATTCCTGTTCTATTGCCAATTGTGAAATATGTGTACAACAAATTATAGGAATATTCAAATGTTTGAAATGCAATCGAGGTTATTATAAAGATAACAGTGGAAACTGTCTTGCATGTGTTGCAAACTGTCCTGTTTGTTTAAATGATCAATATTGTATATCTGATGGTTGCAAAGAATGCTTCATTAGACACAGAACTGAGGGAACTTGTCTGCCTTGCCCTGGAGATGGAGTAGCAAGATATTCATATCAAACACCTTCATCCAATGTACTTATACCACAAATATGTAAAATTGGTTACAGAATAAACAAATCCACTAATCCTGGTTTCTGTGAAAGTAAGTATTGTGTTAATGACTTCACCTTTTTTGAGTGTTTAAATATTTACAGGATGTGATCCAAATTGTAAAAAATGTAGTGTTAATGGAATTGCTAAATGTGATGATCAACAATGTAATTCTGGTTATTTCTATGATCCAATTGAATAGAAAGACTGTTTGCAATTCATGTACTGCTGGTTATTCTTTAAGCGATGATGGAGAAGAGTGCATAGCATGTTCAATAACTAAATGCTCCATGTGCATTAATGGACGTATTTGCACTGAATGTAAAACTGATTTCCACTTGATGAATTATAATAGGGAATGTGCTCGTAAGTAGTATTAGTCTATATCATATCTATTCTTATTATAATATGTTGTACAATTTCTTTAGAAAAATGCTATGAATGTAAAGGAAATCAAACTGATTGTGGAGATGAAATTTCCAGTACCAACAATAATACAGATAAAATGAGAATTACTAGTTATTCCATTGGAGATTGTTGGGCATATAGAATTGAAACCTCAAATAAATTATAATATGCCAGAGGCTGTTCAAATGAAACTTGCACTTCAGAAACAATAAATGAAAATTGTAAGACTGCAGATGGAAAGACAGAGTGCGTAAAATGCTGTAAAGGAGACAAATGCAATGCTTGGGAATTGGATGGCAAGACAGGAGTTGGAAAAACTACCTATAAATTTCAATTAATTGCTATTTCTATTATTTTTGTATTATTTTTTCGAGAATGTAAATTCTGAATGAACCTATTAATAAACTTTCCTTAGCAACCAACTTTTTGTTGTCTTATTTTATATTCATGCAAGAATTTTTCTACAGGCTGTATTAATCATATATAATGAATATTGGTGGCTATTTACGTTATTTAGTGTTTGTAGAGTTAACTGTAATATTTTTATACTCTTTTGACCATCTAACCTTTAAGGACGTTCTCTTTTGACCCCGTCATAGTAGCAATTGATTGATATGCTCATAAATATTTTTCTGAGCAAATTGTACATCGTCTACTGCAAAGGATGATTTTGGCTGTGAAAATGCTCTGGATAGAACTTTCAATAATGAGCGGTCATCATCATGCGCACTTCATAATTGTACTGATCAATATATAGATATTACTTTTGCCTTTCCAGCTATACCACAAAGATTCTGCTACATGAATAAAAGAACTCATTTTAATTCATTATTAATTGAATTAATTAAAATTACAGTAATTTATAAAAGACAAAACAACAAATTACAAGATGTATATATTACATCAGACAAATTGCCATTATCGCTCTCTTCAAGTGTTTTAAGCAAAGATTTAAAGAAAATTAAGAATTGATATGGGTAAGTTGCTTATGGAGAAAGATTTTATTTTAAGAATAACCTAGGCCTGATAAATATTTAATTAACACAAACACTCTATTGCAATTTTTATCTATTGTTGAATAATAATAACAGTAAACATAGCTTAAAAAATATGTAAAGCTGTTACAATTTTCCTTAACTGGTAGGAAGTAATTACAATAGAGCCATCAAGCTTTTTACAAAGAAATAGTTGATAATTTCTTAACATCCAACTGTTATCTTGAATTTGTACTTTTGAGCATAAACTTAAAAATTTGTTATAAGTAGCTGTTTTCAAATGATAAACAATAATTTCTTCATTTCTATCAACAATTTCCAATAGAATATAGATATATAATTGAGAGTTCTGTTGTAATAAAGAAACAGAATAGGCCCATTTATCAATTGTTTGAAAGCAAACAGGCAAATCTGTAAAAAACAAAAAAACAAAAAAATTGAAGAATATCTTTTTTGCTACTAACTTTTCTGAGTTAAAGTTGAAACTGCAATAAGATCAACTTCTCCTAATCCTTGGCTATTTTTAGATATAATTCGTATTTGTTTCGTCAACGTGAAATTGAATTTTACACAAATTGTATGAGAGTTTTTGAAATCTCTTGTTATTTGTTGTTCAATTGTTGAATTATTTAGAAAATTTGCTATTTCTATTTCAAATTCATGTGTTATATTTACAGATTGAAAAACTATTGAAATATAAAAAATTTAAATTTAAATTTAAAAAAGAAACTGTAAATTTCAAAAAAAAGTAAACTTATTAACCTCTTAAACAAATATAATTTAGATGAATAAGATTTGTAGTTATCTTAAGAATATCATCATTTTTTAAATTTATCTTTCCAATATGATCATTAATAAAATAGATATCATCTTTTAAGAATGATAATTGATTACTTGGTAGTACAACATTATTCAATTTTGCCTCAGTAATGTATGATTTAAAATTATGTCCAATTTCTATTTTAAAAAAAAAACGATTCTTGTATTGAAATTTCCTAAATATTTTCAATAACTTTTTATTAGGTGCAAACCTGCCGGTTGATTTTCATAAATTTTTGAAACATAGGCATATATTTCCATCATTTCTAAAAATTTGTTTGGTATCTTACTTACATTGTGATGGACAACTATATACCTTCCAGTAAGAATAGGATTACATTCAATATTGAATAATTCAAAACTTGTTCGAAATTGTCCAGAAAAATTCATAATGCAAAATTTACTATTTAAATTTAAATCCGTTTCCGGAATGTGTTTAACGGAAATAAAAGCTCTTTGAAATCTTTTATGATAATCTGTTAAAACGAAAAATAGGAATGGAACAAAAAGTCAATATTTGACAACAAACCATCATTGTATAATGAAACAATAATTACTCTGTGTACTTTAAATGTTTGAATAGCATCAATTAAAAAATATGGTTTTAAAAGACCATTTCTTGAATGGAATAATGTTTTATAATCATTATCATACGCATTCTCTTTTTTTGCATTTCCAAGATGGCCGCCAGTCGTTGTTTTAATTTTGCTCATATTTAATAATTCAACACCTTTTTATTATGTTTTTAGAAAAAAAACACAAATTTATTATTCAAAGTTTTAAAACTTGATTAAAAATTCGCCTTTACACCTCTATTAACATTAATTAAACTTCCATGAACATCTACGTCGCATAATATTAACTTTTTATTGATTGTTGTTAACTGAATAGTCAGAAATGAACCAATGGATCCCTCATTGCAGGAATAGCAATCATACTGTGAAATATCAGTTGAAATTGGCCTCTTTACTGGACTAGACACATAATTGCATATAGTTTTATTATCATTTGGATAGTTGCCAATTAAAATATAGAATTCTTTTAAATCAACAGCTAAAATAATTTCAAGATAAAAATTAAGTATGGTGTCCCAATTTATTTTCTTTGATAGCTTTACTTACAACGGCTATGATCTATATTCAAAAGACATACTTCAGTAATTCTATATTCATTTTCAAGATCAACAGACCACCAAGAGGCCGCCAGATTATCATTGTCAGTACTTGAACAGTGTTCAGGCTAATAAAATCAATTTTATATATTTTTTCGAACCAGTTTTTATATATTTAAATACTTGCATTGGTTAATGAAATATTAATATTATTGTCAACAGCAAATTGAGGTATACTGGGATTAATATTACTTCCTTGTGTAGAGCTCTGAAAAGATAACTTTCCTCTTGCTAAATTCATCAAAATTACCTGAGTAATTGAATCTAAAATAAAATAAAACATTAAAATATTCATCAAAAAAAAAAGAATGATTTATTTACTATACAAACCAAACCACAGGAATAGAAAGATTAAAGGTTTATTCATTATGAATCCTATTTTGTAAAGGCTGGGATAAATGATAAACAACGTTCTTTTAAGAAAATGTAAATTCTATAAATTGATCAAACACTTTGCGAAAAATGGACCTTTTCTTTTTTTTAGATTTTTGAACTTTAAACAAATTAATTTACTATTCAAGTTTTTTATTAAAATCGATTAACAAATTGATATTTTGAATTTATTCATTGTTTATAAAAAACTTATCATTGATTTGTCAAGTACATTTAACAGCTTAAGAAATTAAAAATGTTCTATAAATGGAGTCATTATCACATTTAGAAGGATTTTTATAGTTATATCTATTGTTTTAAAAAACAAAGCATTTGTCTAAAAGACTAATTGTATAATATTTATTTGGAAAATTTGGATAATTCTAGATTTAGAGAACTCTTGAAAACTTTAAATTTGTTTTTTAGGAAAGATTTTTTGGCAATCTTATAAATATAGCGTCGATAGGCAGAAACGCTTCCTGTACAGCATCTTCTGAACTTTCACCGCAATATACGTTTACAAATTTATATTTGAAACCATTTTATAATCTTAAAAACATATAATGTGATCAATAAAGTGACAAAAAAATTTGACAACGATCAATTAGTAATAAATAGATAACAGGTTACTAAATAGCTTCCCTCAAGAAGAAAGAGTTTAAGACTACAAAGAGAATTTCAGTGCCCTATTTGCAAACACACTTGGCTGGAAAGTGATCAAAGAGTCTTTCAATGTCAAAATACTTTTGGCTGCAACTGTTTAAATCAATTACCAATCGCAAAAAAACCAAATTTCCTGTTCAGAGTGCAGGGAAAAGGTAACACAGAAAGAGAATTATACTATTCACCCACCAAAGAATAGACTGGAAAAACCAATTGAAAAACTAACAAAAAATCAAACTTTATCCGTAAATCATCAGATGAAAACAATGCTTTATTGTGTTGAAGATCGGTTCTTCTACGATTACAAAACGATATAATTTACTGAATGTAACCATATCAAACGGTTGCTGTATTCTAATTGACTACTAATTGGTATTAGATTCAATCTCGTAGCGTATTACACGAGATTTAATACATAGTATGCATAAAGACATGTTTATATATATGTATGTGTATGACCCCCAACTGTAATATCACATTTAACTCTAGAGATCTGGAAGTTCTCTAACATATTGTTTGAATGAAAGGGTGGGAAGTAGATTTTATAATATTTGTAAAGGAGAATCATTAAACACTTTAAAGAATTTTTTACTTTTTTTGATCTTTTTTCTGACTGTTTTGTCAATTCACATAAAAATGCAAAATAAAATCAAACAAACTCATAAATTGCAAATGAGCCGAAAGCTAAAGTAAACTGATAGCGTATTCGAGAAATGGAGCAAATATTGATAATTCCATAGCAACAATCGTCTCGTTTTCGAAAAACCGCTATTGGAAATTCCAACATATTAACCATTCTGTAAATACAATTTCTGTCTTGAAGCGTTTCAGTTGTAAATTTGACTTTGTTTGATGATGAAATTTACAAATTTTTGTCTACTTTTTCTGTACTTCTCTTCCATTTCGGCCAAAGTGAGTGTCATTAAAAATGATGATTCATTTTGTACATTTCTGGATGAAATGTATGAAAATGAACGTTTATCTATTCTCGCTTGTTATTTGGAAAAGAAAAGAACTTCTGAATGCACGTAAGTTATCTTTTATATGTCTATTTTTCATATTCATAAATAGCCAAATTGGATTTTAGGGAGGTCTCTATTAGCCCAAAATCTAATTCAGTCACACATGAAGTTCGATATACAGATAATACGATTAGTTTAAGAGTAAAGGCGGAAAATGACGATGTTTTCTCTGGAGATCATGAATACAAGATGAAATTGGTATGCCCAGTAATTGGAACAGTTGAACAGAATTTTAAAGTTATTGATGATGATAATAATGGTAATAAAAAACAGTTTAGTCTCATCTCATAAATACATTGGATTGTTTTTTAGTAACAAAATCTGAAGCACTAGTATCAACCTTTACATTTCCTGGTTTTGTATATCCCGATATGTCAGCTAATCATAGACCTTTGAAAGTATCTGTTGACGCATTCAGAGGTTCTGCTTTGTGCAGCGTTCACATGGAAGATAAATCCCTTATTTCAACAATGAAAAGGAATCATACAGTTCTGAATCGAGAAAGTTTAACTCTATCATTTAATGCTGCAAATGTTGAAGGAACTTTGACAACAGATATTACGGTTAAATGTATTGACCAATTGGACAAACATGAAGAAAAGATGAAATTTCCAGTTGTAATTGTCGATAAAAGTGAACTTTTTCAAATATTATTAAATATCCTTTAAATTCTTTTATTGTATTTTTACAGATTCAAAAAAAGCGATTGTCACAATATCAGGAATTTCTGTTAAACCCGACTCTTTCATTTTTCATATAAACTCTGAAGATGGTGGAGATTGTCAGTTAGTGTAACATTAAACTAGTTGGACAGTGTGAACAGCTTTACCTTCTTTCTTCTTTCAGAGTTAGCGAAGAGAGAGATATATTTAAAACTAGGCATAAAGTCAAAAGACTATTTTCACCGGAAGTAGAAATGGTTTATCATTTAGAAAGAAACAAAGACAACAACCTAAATGGTAAACAAAATATTAAATTTAAAATGACATGTAATGTGGAGGAAATCAAATTTACTCGTTTTGTTTCCTATATGGATTTTGATTTAAACAAAAATGGCGGCAACAGAAATGAAAAATATTCATGTTGGTTTCTTTCTCTTTCTCTCTTTCTCTCTTTCTCTCTATCTTTTATCTATGATAAAACTTAATCTTTACGGCAAACCGTTAAAAAATTCAAAGATTTTTAAATAAAAAGTTTTCAAGTCAATCTTTTGTACAATTCCTTTATGCAAAGAAAAGATTATTACTATAAATCTTTATTATTTAGCACCCTCTATCATCTTTCCTTCGTCTTGTTTTGTCTCTTTATTCTCAAATATTCAGGACTATAATAGTGAAAATCAAAATGGCTGCATTAATAATTGATGAATGGATATGTCATAATAGTTGAATAAGCCAAAAAAATTTATTTTATCTTTTTTTGCATCAACAAGTAAAGAGATCCTTCTATAGATTAAAGAATATTCCCCATTGGAAATCATCAATCCAACTGTAATCCTAAATAAGAAGCATTCACTCTAAGATCCTTCTTGGGTTGTAATTGATTGAGATCTCCCTAAACAACAATGTTAATTAGAGATAATTCTCCCAAATAATTTCCAATCCAAAATTTAGCCTTGAAATTTTCTGTCAACTCTGATATATTCAATTCACCTATAAAACATGTCAGCCTCTTATCACCCAAATGACGAAATGCTAATAAATTACTTTCTTTTGTGATAAAGTTGAAATAGATTGTAAGAAAATGACAATAATAATTGAGAATTTCTTGTAGTTTTTTTTTAAAAATAGATACTGTTGCATTGAACTGGAAATTATTTAAAAGTAATTAATGAATAGCTAATAGTTAGTGAACATTTGAAAGACATAACAAACTATTAGAAAAGAAAAAATTCTTCAAGAATCATCTTTTGTTTTTTAAAAAAGTACATTTTTCTAATATTTAAATACGCTCAATTTTTTTTCTCTCTGTAACAGAATATGAAATTATATGTGATTCTATCACTGTTTACATTTTTTTACAAATCGCCACTAATGGTTGCCTCTGAATGTCAGAATAATGGAAAGAATTTGTCTATTCATATTATAAAATCAGTGCTTTTACCCTAACCCTAACCCAGCCCTCTGTCTGTATCTAACTTTTTCCCTTACCCCTAACCCTTAGAGGAGATCCTCCTAACTACAAATCAGTTGCTATCTTCTTCTTCCAAACCATTTCTTTATCCAAAATCTAGTCTTGAAATTTCTCATTTGTGGACATTTTCTGTCGACCCCCATAAAACTAACGGTTTTGTATCATCAAATTTTAGATTTCAATTACAGCTTTTTCCTCTCCAGGTGTTATAGACATTTTTATAGAAAATCTTCAAAAACACATTGTTGTTATTTGTAAGCATTATTAAAATTGCAGTAAGAGAAAATGTTAATCAGGGCAACAAAGTATTCAGTGAAGGAAACTGTGTTAGAATTGGGACAATTTGAAACAGCTTTAATACTAAAAATGCATATATAATTCTGTTTTTTCAGTTTTGATAGATAAAATTTCCATTATGACAATGCAAGATATTTTTGTTTAAAATGCTTTAAAGGGAAATCATCTTGTAAGCTTTTTTGCAGAGAATTCTCTAATAATTGTAATTTTTTTAAAGATATTTTTGCATTGAAATTAAGTCAATTAGAAGAAAAATATAGCCTAATTTATAGAAATAACTTAAAAAATTATTTAGCATGTGCACTTAGATATAATGATATAGAAGTCTTCTGTGAAAACACACCTAAGTCTGACAATGACTCTGTTATTCTCGTAAATTCTTCTGAAGAAGAAACTGAAATTATATCTGAAGATTTGGCTATGGAAATGGAAGTGAAACCACAATATATAGAATTAGAAGATGGAATAACTATCAAAGTGGAAAAAGAACAAAAGAAAAATTCAGTAACTCCTGAAATAGAAGAATTACAGTTGGAAAGTATTGAATTTAAACATTTGTCTAATCTAAATGTACACAATATTAATTCAAATACATTAGAAACTGACAATTATTTACATGAGTCCAAAAATAATCTTGACAAGAACAGAGAAGAATTAAAAGAAATGATAAAGAATTATGAAGACATTATTGCTACAAATCAGAATGACATTGGTTCACCAGATGTTCCACCAATGGCAATTGAATTATTGGAAGATGTAAAACCTTTTAAACAAAGGCCTTATAGATTACCACCCAATAAACAACAGGAATGTAGGGATCAACTCAATGGTTTATTGGAAAATGGACTAATTAGATCAAGTAAAAGTCAATGGGCTTCACCAATTGTTTTTGTTAAAAAGAAAGAAGGAACATTGAGAATGTCTGTGGATTACAGAAAACTTAACAAGCAATCAAAAAAGAATTGCTATCCAATCCCAACACCGCGAAGATTTATTTGATAAGCTTGGAGGAGGCCACAAATACTTTTCCATATTAGATTTGACAAGTGCATTTCACCACATCCCCATCAAGGAAGAGGACAAAGAAAAAACTGCTTTTATTACACCATTTGGACTGTTTGAATTCAATCAAATGCCTTTTGGTTTGGCAAATGCACCTTTACACTTTAGTTATATTATGACAAATTTTGTAATTAATGGATTAGAAAATTTTTGCATTAATTATATGGATGACATTATTGTGTTTACTAAAACATTAGAAGAACACTACATAGCTTTACAAAAACTAATAGAAAGAATTAAAGAAAAAGATTTCAGAATCAAACCAAGCAAGTGTGCTTTCTTACAGGAATCAGTACAATTTCTTGGTCATAAGATTACACAAAATGGTATTGAAACTGATCCAGAAAAGATTCAGAAGATAAAAGATGCAGATATGTTTGCAGACTGGGTATCAAGAATTGGAGAAACTGATGAAGTAATTGATTTTCTCAACTTACTAAAAGACAGACTGAATCAAGAAAAACAGAATGGCAATACAGTTCCTCAGCTAGCAGAAAGAAAAGACATGCTTAAATGCTTTTATATTGATACAGAAGATCTGGAAGAATTAGATGATTGCTTAGATGATAATTTAGATGATGAGTATGATGAAGAAACAATTGAAAACCAATTGAAAGTTATGAAACTAAAAACTACAACTGTTAAAATAGACTTCTATACAGAACAACTTTTGGATACTCCACTGATGAAAGTTGTAGACAAATTGGAAGGACAAAATATTGATACTGGAACATCGTATGAATATAAAAACTTCATTGAAAATATGTTTGTTAAAGAGGATCTGGTATGGTATTTAGATGGTTGTCAACCACTACTTGTAATACCACTATCAACTTTAACCAACCTACTTGGACAAATTCATCAACATCAGCTATTTCAACATTATAGTGTTGATATAACAATTCATACCTTAGAACAAGCCTTCTGGCATTCAAAATTAAAGAAGACAATTAAAGACCACATAAAGAATTGCGAATTTTGTGAGCAATTAAGAGCACCAGGCAACAAACACTTGTTGGTTGAAACACCTCATCCAACTCTACCAATGCAAAGAATTGCTATGGACATAATGGGACCTTTGACTGGACATGATTCTTACAAATATATACTTGTGATTATAGATCACATGTCAAGATTCACCAATCTATTCCCTCTAAAAACTCAAACAGCTGAAGAAATTTCCAAACATTTATTTTTCAACTATTTTCCAATATTTGGTATTCCAGAAGAAGTTCTTACAGATCAAGGAAGGAATTTCCTTGGGGAAATTTTTACAGAAATGGTAAAAAAAACACCACATGAAATATTATTTGGATTAAAGAATAGAAACATTTTAGATTTATTGATGGAAATCCCAAGATTAGAACCAACAACAAAATTCCTACTTGATAGAAAGCATGAAATGGAAGAAATCAGAGCTACTGCACTCTGCAAATCTGCTTTGAAAAAGAAGGAATACAGAGATAGGGTTAATAAAACTATCACAAGAAAACCACCAACTTATAACAAACATATCAACTTTGCTAATGAATTAGGAATTGACTCAAGTATGTCAACACATCAACATTTATTTTCATCATGGCTAAAAACTCCAACCAAAATGCTGATTAATATTGCATTTCCAACAATAATTATTATTGGAACTTCGCATATAAAAAAAGATGTAGCAAACTTACTAGGAAAAGAATTTGGAAATACTTAGAAAGAAGGAAAGCCAAACCAACAGCTCCAAGTATACAACAAAAAGATTTACAGATCCCAACATACTCAACTATGGAAATTGACCAAGAAGCAATACCTCTTAAAAACTATCCAACATTTTCAAAAGAAGGTAATAGAGTCATTGTGACAAGTCCCAGACCTTTCGTGGAAGCAAGGTCTTAAAAGGGTGGGATATCTGTGCACTTAGATATAATGATATATCAATACTTAGACTTTAGATATAAGGGTACATTAGAAAGACTTCTATTTTATAAGAATTAGACTATTAACTATAGAAATACTTATATTTCGTAGGAATTATAGTGCTGGAACTTTAGAAAGACTTTTATTTCATAGTGTTAGCTTTTAATACTTAAGAAAAGAACTCTATTTCGTAAGAAATAGACTCTTGACTGTAACAGATGGTGGCTACTTGGGAATTAACAAAGGAACAAAGAACATGGGAAAGATGCAGGTCGAACACCAGATGCTGATGAGGCAGGCCTGTTTATTGCGGCACATGTTTGACATGTGGTCCTAATCTTAGGATTATATTTTATATGTGTGATATAACAGTCTTTCATATTTTTGTTACATGAGAATTATGAGACCATCAGATTTCAACTTTGTAATCCTTTGACTACTTGAACCCAAGCTTTGGAAATGTATAAAAGGAAATGCATTTCCCCAGCCTGTCAGTTCAGTTCTTTAACCATTAACTGGTTGTTTAAACTTACTTGTTTAGAACTAGAAACTCATTTACTCAATACATATTCTTTGGACGAAATACTGGTATTTTGTTGAATTATTTCTACCGAAATTACATTTGTTAAGACTATTTGTGGACGAACTTGAAAGGTTCTAATTGGACCAGTACTTTGGTAAATTGATAAATGATTGGAAAGGACGAATATTGTTCTGAAGAAGCAGAAATTCCTACAATTACAATACAACAAAGTACATAGCATGAGGCACTTCTGGAAATTGAATGAATTAAAAGGCTATATAGAAGCTTATAATCTTAATTTTTGGCGTAAAATGTGTCCCATCAATTTAAGGAGTAGAGAAGTAAATATTTTATGTAAATATTTTGGTTTTGAACAAGGAACAGACTCTATTGATGAAGCTGATTGTACAGAGAATTTTATGTTTAATTGTACTTAAAATACTCAAATATATTATCAGCATGTATGCAATTTAAAAGAAGGCTGTGATAATGGAAAAGATGAAATAGATTGTGGTTAGTGTTTCAAAACAGTGTTCTGTCTATTGAAACTTTTACTCTAATATTTTCAAAATTGTAATAGCTGGAAATATTGACTTAGAACACATTACTGTTACAGAAAAAAGTGCAGAACCAGCAATATACTTTTTAAAATTGACTTCAATTAAATTAAAGACTAATATAGAAGAAAAAACTGATATTGTTGCATTTGGACTTCCAGTTAGAACCATCTTAAGAAAAAAAACTGCTTTAGACAGAAAATGAATAAATATTAGTATTATAATAAATTTTTTTTAAATTGTTATTAGTACTACAATCCAGTTGGGGGAAGGAAGCAGGTGAAACCGTACATGGGTTAAAGCGTAACCATAAGGGATTTAAATCGTCCCCTTATTTATACACTTACTACACATTCACTCAGAAAAAATGTACCAGTTTTTAATAATTTTTCTCATTTCAAGGTACATATTTTGATTCTTTTCTTTCATGTTCTCTAATTAAGCTGTATAATACCTGTCCTGACCTCTCTTCACTATATCTGTGCATTTTTCAGTATAGTTGTTATAAATTGTATTAGTAATTTTCAGTTCATTCCTAGATTGTTCAGATAGACAATATTCGTTTAAAATTTTATCAATGCCAACTGCTGCAATGAAAGCTCTATCAATAATGAATGTTTCATTAGAATTGATCTTCAGAGTGCCTAAATATTGCTCAGAAATTTATACAATCTCTATCTAAAGCAAAATACAGCTCTAAAATGACTTTTCAATCAAAGTTTGATTCAAAAACTTCGATTTAGTTTTCACTCAAAATTCATAAACATTAACTACCAAACACAAAGGAAGTAACAAAGCAATTCCTCTTACTCAAAAATGCTTTTTAGAAAACATTTCTGGTTTACAAACTCAATAGATTTTTCATCAATTTTCAATAAAACAATACAAGAAATTTTATAGACAAAAATTTATTTGAATATAAACTAATTGGTCAATGAAATTTTGAAAATGTACCAATTTCCCTTTCATTATGTTTCCTAATTTGTTTTTATTTTGTTTTTGAAAATATAGTGAAATCATTATTTACAGAGGTTGTTCTTAGATTGGAAAAAGTGAATATTTAACTAACAGGACATACTTAATTAAATCTTTTTGTTTAGACTAAATGATAAGATCTTTATACAACCGAATTTATAGATAAAACTTGTTACAAAATTTTTCTAACTCCACAGTAATCTTTACTTAAAAGTTTTCAACAAAATGAAGGATAGTAAGTTCCTGCTATGTTCCCTGTTTCTATCAAAAAAATAGATAATAATCAGACAGAAACCCAAATACAATTTTTTATGACATTTACTCAGAAGTGTTACACAATCAGAGAACATAAAATTTGAAGAATGTTATAAAATGGTGAAGATAAGCCTTGAAATCAGGGAGAAAATTGTTGACTTAAGTAAAAGAGGGCTAAGCGATGTAAAAATATCGAAGCAGTTTCAAATTGCCTATAGTACTGTATGTATGGTACAACCTGAAGAAGGCAATGGAATGTTCTTCCATGGAAGACAAACCTAGAACTGGTTGTCCCAAAAAGGTATCTGAATCAGATGAGAGGAATCTTGTAATTATACAAAAAAACCCATTCTATTCTGCAAGACAAACATACAGTGAATGGAGCATTCCAGGCAATTCCTGTAATTCCAGTTTTACTTTTATTGTTATTATTATTCTATCTTTCTTACTGTAATTGGAATTGAAATGACAAACCAAAAAATTCATATAGTTTGCCATCATGTTTTCACATACATCAGCAGTAGAACTAGTAGTAATATTTTTGAATTAAATCAATTTAAATGATTTTCTATTGTATCTAACAAAAAGTTGATAAGTTGTATTTGAATTAAATTAGGTTAAACGAGAGGAGAGTAGCTCCATTCCCTCTCTTATTGATATTATAAAGCATCTGCCTTCTAAATACAATAAACAATCAAAAGAAAATTAGGTAAACTAATTAGAAAGACTAGATTTGATCAGTTTAGTCTAATCATCTTACTTTTAAATATGCTTTTGGTGGAATTAGGTATTGATGAACAGCTCCTTCAGATCAAACTAGATGAGATTGTTTGGTAGAATAAGAACGTTATTCAGTGGAATCCTCAATCTTTCAAAACTGCAAGAAAAAGTGGAAAAATTTCTATTACTATAAAAAAATGATTCAGCCTATCTTCCTCTAAATTTAGGCGTAACCATCGCTTTTAGATTAAAGAATTTATAGTAAAGAATATACTAAATTCCATTGTTGAGCAACATTTGGATGTTATAATTGCTAATATTCATTCTGACGAAACAGATAGTGTAATGGACTTTTTGGGTCAATGAAGATGATTCTTTATTTCCAGAAAAGATAATAGATCAAAATCTTGGCTTTAGGCTGAATAAGACAATACTATCTAAGTTAATTTTGGAAGGTTTGGAGACTGGTATTTGATCTGGTATTGTGATACAGTAAAATCTATTGATTCCTTGCTTTAACGTCTTTAGAATACGGTTATAAATTTTTGAATTTGATCTGATTTATGAATCATGAAATTTTAAATGAATGAGTCATATGCTATCGTAAAAAATACATGGCTTACTTTGTCTGCAAACTTACCAACCTTAACCTTTTTTGATGGTTATGAAAATTTTGTATGGTATTCTAAAGAAGGCCTTTAGTCAAACGTACATGATAAAATACCTCAGTTTCACCACTTCCTGCGACCCGAGAAATTGACTAGTTACTCTATGATTTATACCATTAACATATGTCCCAGTACTCAATCCTAAATAATTTTTTGTTGATTCTGTTGTGCCAACCCTCTAGACTACTCATCATTGATTTACTGTGGTGTAATCAATCTTTTACCTATCTCCATTCACTACACTCTTCCTGATTATTTATCTATTACTTTCAAATGTATAATTTAGCAAGGTAAAGAGGGTAGAACAGCAACAAGATAATATTATGCTATTCAACTTTTGCTGTTCAATAGCTTAAATACAAAAATTTCAAATTAACACTTCATAAATTATTTCTGTTTCTATAGAAAATTATCACAAAATCCTTATCTTTTGTTTTTGTTAGTTTGTGCTTTTTTGAGTGTCGAATTATCTAGGCGATTCCCCAAATATAAACTTTTTAGAAGTTGCATTGTAAATGATACTCTATTGAATAATTAATAGCCTTAGTTAATATATTAAGCGTACATTTTCCTTTGTCTGTCAATTATGATAGATTCTGTAGAATAGCACAGAGTACTACCTCACTTGAACAATATGCAAAAAGTTGCCTTTTGGACTATGATAGATTTAGTGATTCTGATGACCTCTGTTTTTATATTTATAACAAAAACAACAGCAGGTTAGCAAATTAATTTCATATTAAAAATTGTAATAAAAAAACCAATTGACATAGTGAAAATTTATTAAAATTGTAAATTTAAGATATAATATGCTTAAATGATGGAGATTGTTCAAATTTGGAGAATTGTACACCAAATGGATGCTTATGTGATTCAAAGTATGGAAAAGGAATTTGTGAAAATAGTAAGAATAACATAGCTTATTTTTTTAATAAAATATTTATCATTTATCTGTCAAAAAATAGGTCATAATTTAATTTTAATAAGTAATAAAGAGACTAAAGACTTTGGCAGAGAAAATATTTCAGTTACTTCAATTGAGCAATGCTACCAGTATTGTTTAGCTGCAAAACAATACGACTGCGTTGGAATTTCGTACAATAATATTACTGTCTTATCTCAATCTGATTTTCAATGTCAACTTTATAGTGAAATATCCTACCCATTGGAGGAAAAGGAGCATTCATTTTTAATTATTCATAAAGGTAGGGAAAAAATGGTTCATTTCCCTATTAAAAAGATATATTTACTTGAAAACAGATAAAGAATTTGGAGTTTGCGGGACAGATTTAAACGTACCACCACCTTTGCAACAATGTTATACCTTTATTTGGATAGATGGCGGCTGTTCCACAGATAATTTTAAGCCTACCTCCAATCAGGAAACATTGACTATTTCAGAGTTTAAGAATTACACTTCAGAAATGTTTATGTTGGCTGAGTCGAAAATTAAGAAAAACTCACAATCGGAATTTTATAGGCAAATTTGCTTTGAAAATGCAGTCAATAACCAGAACATAGCATTTAATAGGCCTGTTACGTCTACAGGAACATTTGACAGTCCATTACTCCATACAAGCCATGTAGTAGATGGATTGCATCATAATGATATTTCATTAGGCTCCTGCTTAATATTAAAACCTATAGATTCTTTAAAGCCCGAACTCCAAATTTCATTTATATCATATAATATTATAAAGAAAGTCATTTTATGGCCAACAAATGAAAAAGGTAGAAAAGAATAAGAAAAAGACCAATATAAAGAAATAATTTTCTTATTATCCCTTAAATATTTTAGTGAATCAACTATTGAAAATCTACACATCAACAAAAACTAATATTTGCTCTGATAATATTCAAATAATAAATAGTTCAAAAGTTGAAATTTATTGTAAACAACAGAAGTATGAAAGAAGCAATAAAATATCAGTTGAATCAAAACTACTCAGCTCCATCCATCTATGTGAAATAGAAGTATTTAGTGGTAAATGATTCTATTTATCTTTTCTTCATATATCCTTTTATTCTTTATTTTATATAGAAAATATTGCCTTTTTTAAACCAACCATATCAAAATTTTCAAAAAATTGGCTAGAAAGAGTAACAAATAGACATACTTCTAAAGCTGCACATTTATATGTTGGAAGCACTACTTATTGGGTTGCAATTAACCTTTTAGGGTATTTTAATGTCTTTGGTGTAGATTTTAGATGCGTCAAAAAACATGTAGCAAAATTACAAAATGTTTATATTGAAATAACAAATGAAAATCCATCTTTGGAATATAATTCTTCAGAATATCAGCTATGTGCCAGAATAAATGATATTCCAACACTCACCAATGAGTTTTACTCAATACTATGCACAAAGAGAGGTGTCGAAGGTCAATTTGTTGTATTTCGTAGTATTCATAGTCCATATAAAACTATATTTGTTAAAGAAATTGAAATATTTGGACATTATATAAAACCTTCCGATCCGAAAAACAATAATATACTATTAAACAAACCAGTATGGCCATCCTCTAATCATATAAGTTATTTATACACTGGCTACAGATTAACTAATGGAAAATATAATGATCTTTTTCATACTACAAAGGAGAGAAAGTCTTGGGCAAGAGTAGATTTACTTGGAATATTTCAAATTTTTTCAATGGCTATCTTAAACAGAGATGAAGAATGTAAACAAAATTTTCTTGATCATTTTTTCAAAATTATTGAATTTTTTTTCACTTTCTTTTAGTTCATCAAAGAGCAAGATACATTCGAGGTTTTACAACAAATCAAAGTCGATTTAATATTGAAGAACACGATTTATATTCTCAATTATGTTTTACTAATATTGAAACCTTTTTAAGCGGGGAATATAGAATGTGGAAATGTCAACAACCCAATCCAATTGGACGATTTATTACTATCTATCTTCAGGCAGATGAAGAAATTATTAATCTTAGAGAACTTGAAGCATATGGTGAAGAAATAAATAATTTTGACTTTCATCTTTTACCATTGGTTAAAAGTGATAGAAATTTCCACACTTCATTTTTTTCTGATGAAGATCCGGCAGACCAATTCCCTGTAAAAATAATTGATAAGTTAGCACTTAACAAACATGGAGGAGAAGAGTTTTCATCTTGTTCTGGAATTTTTATCGACAGCAACCTTGAAGGGAGAATTACCATTTATCTGGATGACTATTATTTGATGGAGGAAGTTATTCTACTCGCTCCATTTCCTTTAGTTAAAGGTGTCAATCTCTTTCTTCCTCTCTAATTCTCTCTTCACATTCTTTCTCTCCACAGATCATTTTCAAAGTATTCAAGTAGCAGTTGAGAGTCAGCATTTTCAGCTACAAAGACATATTTGCTTACTTAAATATCCAATAGAAAATGAAGTAATACCATACAGTTGTAAATTTATTGGTGATAGAGTATCATTATATCAGAGTGGTGTGAACACAGGTATAAGCATTTGTGAAGTATACATTTTGGGTAAAATTGAATCTCCCAGTTTAAACAGTATGTACTTTTCTATTTTTCTTAATTATTCGATGTTTTTAAGTCTAAAAATTGTCTTTTAGATTCGTATGCTTTATTTAATGGAACAATTGCATATTCAACAAACACTTTAGAAATGTATCCTAATTCAATTTGCGATTATTCTACATCAGATATTTATATCCAATTACCAGTTTATCTTAAATTTAATGCTGTTGGATTTACTCTATCAAAATCAGAAAATTATTTATTAAATTTCAATATTTCTGGTATATACCTTGAAACAGAAGTACTTTGTACTCAAATCAATCAGATTTTGAGAGTTGTTCATCCAACTATATTTTCATTTTCCTGCACTGAGGAAATAGTTGCTAAATATTTGAGAATTAACTTCCAAAATCAATTACATCATATCTGTAACTATTTTGTAATAGGAAAGGAGATAGTGAATTTAAAAGGTAATTATTAAATTATTCTATTTAAAGGTGAATATTGACAAAAATACCAAAATTAATATTCTTTTTTTTAAATTTGAAAAGATAATTTCAGATTAGAATATAGCAGAAGATTTATAAGATCACGTTATACGTATTTTACAATTAGTAATATAAACATTCTGAAGTGTTATTTATTTTGTCTCAAACAAGAAGAATGTGAAAGTTTAACATATTCTGATAATGAAAGAAATTGTTCATTTAGTAAATTTGATGTTTTATCAAATATAAAAACATCTTTAACTGAAGAAAGTACAAATTACTTTTATATTTTGCAAAAAAGTCATGATAGATTTTTACAAGATTGCAATATACATTGAAAGTTAGTCTGTTTTTGATTAAAATGAGTATATTGTAATTATGGTAATAAACTGCACTTAGGAATAAAATTAATTTGAAATTGATGAATAAAATAGTTTCAAAAGCTAAGATTCTTTTTTGTTAGTGAATAAAGATCACTTAATGGTAAGAATATAGGATTGAATTGAAGATTAGTAAGAACATAATTGAAAGAATCTTGTTAAATTGTGGATTAGGGATATATTAGGATATTTTCTCCCATAGCCTGATTTAACTGGATAGATAATATCATTGCATAGCCTATAAAATTTTCTCTTCTGTCTACCATATGCTACAAGATTACAATGTGGACAATGTAAAGGTTAAAGTTTTAGTATTTAAAGAAATATATAAAGAAGAGGCATATCTGATTAATATTATATTGCAAAATATTATACTTTATGCCTAAATGGATTAGCTTAGCGATCAAGAGTGATAAAAGAGAGATATAAAGTGATATTGCTTCTATTAAAATTCAAATAAACTTTATTGTACAGGTAATACATCTAGTTTATAAAGTATCTACCAAGTTCAATATACAATGAATATTATTGTTGGAGCATTTTACACTATTAAAAGGATTGAAACGGTGGTTAACAAGGCCAAGAATGATGGGAAGGATGATATCAAATTTCCCCAAATGAAAAAAATACATTTTAGATGTATGGAAAAGGGTGAAGAAGGTGAAGCTGCAAAAGTCATAGTTCATGGTTTTTCACATGATTTTTCATACTTTTGCGATAAGAAAGAATTTCCCAGTCTTGAGCAGTTTTTTGAGAAATCTCTCAAACATGATGAAGATAACACAAAGGATGTGATTGTTGCTGTTAATAAAGAAAATAAAGAAATTGCTGGAATTTGTAAATTACGGGATTCGAACAAGTAAGATAATAATTTTTGAAAATTCAAATTAAATTTTATCTCATTTGTCCTCTCTTTCTCTTCAAGATTGGAAAAAACTCTATCACTTTCAGAGACACTAAAAACACTATCAATCAGAACAGCTTTTAGGATGATCACGACTATATTATCATTTGACGAAGTGAATAGTCAGATTGTTAAGGATGAACAGGTGGTGGAATATCTTACCGTTCACGACAATTATAAAAAGCAAGGAATAGCGAGAAATCTTCTTAGATATGCTGAATGCATGGCTAAGCAGAGAAACTCTAAAGTATAAGTCAATTTAAAAAAAAAGAACAATAATAATTTCCATTCTTTAGAAAATATCTTTGGTCGTTCATGAAACGAATCCAATAGCCGTTAAACTGTACGAAAGTGAAGGGTATGTCACAACACATCTACTCCATGGTTTAAAGTACCTAACATTTGGTAGTAAGGTAAGTGATTATATTTCCTTCTCCTTACCCTTTCTCCACTAAATAACATTATTTCCTTGTCAAACAGACCAGTTTCAAGATGGAGAAGGCAATTTAAAACTACCAATAATTGACATGTAATGAATTTAGGAAAAATAGCATTAGTGTTATTAAATGTAAATCGGTTTATTAGTAATTCAAGATGAAAAATACACGCATTCAAATATAATTCTTATCTGGAATGTTCTAATTATATTAGGCTAAAGGTTATCCTACATGTTGAGCACTTTTAAACGATATAAAATACTTTACTCTATTTCTCATGTATACATATATATGCCTTTGTTATCACTAAAATGATAACATATCAATTATCAACATACAATTGTAGATAAATCAATTCTTTTTGTTTTCAAGTTCAGCGACCGGAACATCTCTGTTAAGTTAGCAAGTAGTTATTTATTTGACTGTCAATATCTTTATAGATTTACTATAAATCATAGGCTTTATCCTTATCGGTCATTCCAATAGGATTATAATTGATCATTCATGCAAAACTTGCTTCCTACCAAGGTCATAGTCTCTAACTGTCCGCATTCCAGATATTACGTTCTGTTCAACTCTGTTTCCGCATGCTGAACACTGCGTAAATTCGGAATTCCCAAATCTGTATACTTCACTATTGTCTTCCAACTGTGCATACTGTAAATCTAATTTTTCTCAATCTTGAATATCTTTTTTTTCCCAGATATTTTTGTGGTTGTTTCCAAACAGATAATTATAATGAATGTACTACTACCAACAGTTTTGGTAGTGTGACTACTAAAATTATTAAGAGGGTTAGGGTTAAACTCTATAAAAATAATCCCTAACCCAGTTTTTTCAACTAAAATGATAGCACTCTTATTCACACAAAATAGGAGAAACTCGACAACAAATTCATAATATTTTACAGTTTAAACTATGACGCAATCTATAGCAATACTGAGCAAATAGCCAAGCAAGAAAACAGAATCTTCTAGTGGATTATCAGATTGATTTAATAACAGAAAATGCGGACATAGTTAGAAATTATTGCCTTCCTTGTTTCTTGCCATTTTATCTCTTCAAAGGAGAGTACATATTGTTAATAAATAATTGAATATATAAGAATCAGACAAAGATAAAAGAGGTGAATATAAAATTGTGATAATAGTTGAATAATTTAAGGTCTAGATTCATTGTATATATTTATAGGAAAGAAGCATGTTTGTAAATTATTATATTTTATCTGATTATAGAAGGAAAAGAGAAGAAAAATCTTCTACTCTTATGGATTATTTCTATAGAGTCTTTGTATTAACTTTTATGACTTGCAATCAAATTTTGGGATTAATTTTGAATACAAATTTAATAATCATTCGTACAATCAATAAAGATGTTTCGAAATTGGAGAATTTCGGTGTAACTGCATTAAGTTTTACTGATGTTCTATACTCAATATCAATTTTAAGCTATTTTCATCTTATTGTTACAGAAAGAAGCTTTTACACTTGTCTTTGCATATTTCAGAGTGTTTTTTTTATTGTTGGAGTATCATCTTTTACATTAACACTTATTACATTTGAAAAATTTATGGCTGTTATAAAACCTTTAACTTTCCATAGAATATGGACATCAAGAAGAGCAGTTATCTTACTTGTTTCTATATATTCATTTAATTTTATCATTTGTTTTCTTCCAATTGTCGGTTGGAATAGTTACCATAATGTTAGTAAAGATAATTTAACTTTAATATGCAACGCATTGGATATACTTCCTTCTTCATTTCTATACTTTTGGACATTTAGCACTATTTCGCCAAATACAATAGGTAGTATATTATTATATATACCTATTCTAAGAGCAGTATGGAAGCACAAAAAAGCGATATCTGTTGTATCAAATGTCAATAATTCACAATCGAAAGGGAGTAGTATAACTGCTTTAACTTGTCTATTAGTGTTTAATGCCATCTTATGGATTCTATTAACTTCAATGACTGTTGTAAATAATAGTAGAATAGCTACTGAAAATATTTTATCCCAATCCGACTATGCTTTTCTTTCTTCTATACTTACAGTAATTTTTCTTTCAAATTCAACAATTAATCCTCTTATTCATGGCTATACAAAATCATCTATAAGACATCAAACAAAGAAATTTTATACTAACCTCTTCAAAAGGATTATTGGTAAATAAAATATCTGTAATTAATTGTCTTAACAAGTCTAAAACACTTTCACCTTTAGTTCATTATTTAATATACTACAGAGAAATAAATACAAAAAGAATATTACATTACAAATAAATGTCACTAATAGGATAAAAAGTAAAGTTTTGACCCTATCAGTTGTAGACAAACTGATTTTCATATCTAAGGGAAGTTAGCTGATAAGGCATGGTAAAAGCAACTGTTATCTAGAAACTTCATGGATGTGCCAAGAAGTTATATATCAATCATATTGAAACCCTAAAACAGCTAATTATTAAAAATATATTTTACAATGGGGAAAATAAACCTTGAAATGAGGGAGAAAATTGTAGAACTGGATAGACGAGAGCTAAGACAAGTTCTCTAAAGTACTGTCCAGTTCAACCTAAAGAAAGAAGTGGAACATTTATGGATATTTATGGATGGGGGACAGACCCAGATCTGGTCACCCCAAAAAGATCTCAGAAACAGAGATACAAAAAAAAATTCATTTTTGCAGGGCAGACTAAGAAAGTCTAAATTCTACCAAGAAGACTATTCAACAGGGAAGAGGAAAATGCTTGGCCTGCTGATTATCATTCTAAATAAATAGATTTACCTTTATTTATCTTGCATGACTAATGGACTTTAATTTTTAATAAACGAATAGTTGATAAAATTAGAGTTTATTTGTAATAGTTGTAATTGTAGTGTTTGCTAAAAACAATATTAGTAAACAAACTTTTTACAATTTCAATATTCCAACATTACAAAGTAACATTTAACACAATTTCTGCAATAGGTATATTACTACCAACAAATTTGAGTAATAATTGACTAATGATGGCATCTACAATCTATCTTTAAGCCTATCTATTTTGAACTATTTCAAAATTTTATCTTGTTCTGTGAATAATCTAGAATAATCTAGCTTTTGATAAATTACTTGTAATCTAAGTACTTTTAATAAAAATTCCAGATAGGAAATATTGATCTATCCTATTTTTATAAACATTTGAAGGCAGTGTTGCCATGGTGATATTATTATCAATTATTCTTGTCATATGTAGAGTTTAGCATTTTATGCTTCAGTAATTTTGTATCATTGCATTAAAAATATGTTTGAGGTGAAAGATGGTGTATACTAGAGTAACTATATTATTTTTTTCGTGCTGTATTCAAGTTGTTGGCCTATTATTGAATGGAAATTTAATTTTAATTCATACAATTGACAAAGATTTATGGCAATTACATAGTTTTGGAGTAACAGCTTTAACGTTTACTGATGTTTTATACTCAATTTGCATCATATGTTTCTTTGTACTTAAGACAGAAGAAAAATATTATTACAATTGTTTAATTTTAAATCAAACTGTTTGTACAATAATTTCAGTATCAGCTTTTACATTGACTTTAATTACATTTGAAAAGTTTCTGGCAGTTATAAAACCTTTAAAATTTTACAAAATATGGACAAGAAAGCGTGCTTGTGTCCTACTTTTTGTTATATGGTTAATTAGCATTGGTATTTGCCTCCTACCAACTTTTGGCTGGAACCAATATGAAGTCATTTTCAAACAGAATACTACCTTTACTTGTGATTTTTTCAGAGTATTTCCTACTTCTTACCTGTACTTTTGGTCACTAAGCACAGTTTTTCCAAACTCTATTACCAGTTTACTATTATATATTCCAATACTAAGAGCAGTACGAAAGCACAGAAAAGCAATTTCTGATAGATTAAATGCAAGTAATATAGAATATGAAGGAAACAATATTGGAACTTTAGCCTGCTTATTAATAATTAATTGCCTATTATGGACTTTTGCAACTACAGGAGCTCTTACAAGTTATAGTCAATTGAAAAAAGTATATGGTCTCTCTGAACATAATTTGAGAATACTTTTTGACTTTCTTACGGTAATTGTAGCCTCAAATGCAATAATAAATCCTGTTGTCCATGGCTACACAAAATTATCTACAAGACAAAGAACTATGAAGCTTTATAGCAATATTATGAAAAGGATTACCTGTAAAACTTAATAGATCCAAAATGATAATGTCTGTCCACTATATTAATTTTTTTACTAAATACACACAGGCAAACATATTGATGTATGGCATTAATTTTTCATAAATTCCACTTTATTTTGCAGAAAATTTCTTAAAAGCATTCCATATTCCTGTATATTCTTTTGATGATTTTCTGAAACTGAGACAAGTGTTTTATATGAAATAAAGACTTTCAATAAAGAGACAGTTAAAGAGATTTCAGCTCCTAAATTTAGAAATGGGGATTGTTGCAATGATTAAGAATCATAGTGTGGATAAGAAATGACTTTTCAGCTACTTCCTTTTAGATATGAAAACCTGTTACATTTGTATTCTCTTTATCTTCATCATATATTTGAATTTTTGAATAAATATGTAAAAAATTTTCATGATGAAATATTATAAACAATCACTTTTGCTAAAAGATTGTAATATAAGCATTCAACATTCCTAATTATAAGACATACAACACAAGAAAATTTACTGTCAGTTCAAGACATTCAGTCTCTATGCGGTGTAAAAAAAACTTAATAAACATGACACTATTATAGTTGAAGAGTCAATAGGAGAAGATGAAAAAGTAAAATATAAAAAATCAGTTATATATAAGATTATCAGATTGATTCAGAGAGCCAATCAGCAATGTGAAGAGGCTGCTGAAGAAGCTAACGAATCATTCAGTTGAAAGGAATAGGGCTGAATCTGTATCGGGGTGAAACCGTACTTGAGTGAAATCATAGACGTTTTCTGTCGACCCCCTTTGAGAGGTTTTTGCCTTTAGAATAAATGAAAAACTACTATGTTACAAACATGTCTTTTCCCAGTTGACCTTCAAAGTGACATTTTCAAGTCTTTTTTCCTCATTTCTGTCCTTGAATCATCCTTTATCATTCATTTTCTTTGGTTTTTATCAACCTACATATTTTTTCAAGTATATTTTAAAACTTTTTCTTGTTTAGTTAAAGGTTTTTGAAAATGGACGAGATTTCTTAAGAACCACTGTAGGCCTGTGTTGTGGTTATATAAATGAAAGTACAAATGTTTAGTCGTATAAAATGGTTGTTTTGAGAAAATGTTTGTGTCTTTAGTAATTTGTTTTAATTAAAAAATTAGCCTTATTCAACATTTAAAAAAAGAAACCAAATAAATGGATAGGCTTTTCATGCAATGACTCATAAACTATTATTTGCTATGTGCTGTGGATCACTTACTCAGTTGAGTAACTATTGTAGGAAGTTGCCATAACCACGGTCAAATTACACAACCAGTTCATACTATCCAATATAACTCTGACAAGTTAATTATATTATTGTATTCAGAGACAATAATAATTCCCTCTAATTATGCCTGTGAAATCTTTGGAGAATATTTCATTGGATATCCTAAGAAACAATTTATATTTGATAAGTAAAATTTGTGAGCAGTATTCTTTTTCTTTACCAAGATCATTTAGTGACAAAATCTTTAAATATCTCTGTTCAGATGGTAAAGCTTTTTTGAAAAATGATAAATACTTTTTTTCAAGTAAGATTTTACAATTAACAAACCTTTCTCTGCATCAAACACAGTTTATAAATTTTGGAAATTTGGATTTTTTGAAAAATCATCCTATAAATTCTTTGTCTTTATCAAATATTTTCATGCCGTACCAACTATTTTTTTGAACTCGCAAATAGAAATAATAGAGTTGAAGGGATGTAAATTTCAAAAAGAGACCTATCTTAAACTGGGAGAAACTACTTGCCAAAACTTGAACATCAATTCAAAGGTATAAAATTAAATCTTGATCTTGTTAATTTTAGTTTGAATATAGTCATTTTCAAAGGAAGTTTATCCAATTTTAAAAAGATGTACCAGAAATAATAGTAAAATCAATATCTGTCAACTCGATGACAATCCAAGTACATTGGGCAAAAGAATGTTTATTTCCACTGACTGTTGTAAAAAATCTTTAAATGGTGTCTTATTTCCTTTCAGTTTTTTATGAAAAAGTTAAAGAAAAGTTGTATTTTTTCTGCAGATTTCAGAGTTTTAACTGATAACGATATACTTGAATTATCAAGTAAATCATTGAAAGATGTGAATTACGTTGAAGGAGTTGTTCGAATGAGATCTCTAAAAACAAATAAAACCTATAATTTAAAATATGAGAACCAATACTTTTCATTTTCAAATCAAATATGCTCCTCTCTTGGATATGATTACCTCCATTCAAGTTTAATGCCATACTTTTTGAATAATAGAAATCAATCTTTTATCCAAATCAAGTAGATTATTATGATATTGTAGTATATATACAGTACTGGTCAGCGGTCATTGTCACACCATTCTTCTTATCATTCTAGAGAGGAAATATTATACGATTCTTATCTATCTCATAAATATCAATATTTTAATATGATAGGCCTTTTTTCGACGAGAGCATAGTTACTGTTGGGTACAACTGAGCTTCAAAAAAATGTTCATTTTGAACATATAGGCTAAATGATATAGAGGTCTGGGCTGCCAGCTGGCCGCTGCTGCAACCTTTTGATGACTTTTCTCTTTAAGTAGCGCTTTATTTTTGTGACTGTGACAATTAGCGCCGTGATACTGGAAAATTTCTGTATCATCATCTTCAGTGAAAACTGTGAAAAAATGCTTATTTTTCAACGGTGAACGTGATAACACAGTTATATAATATCTGACCGGGCTGTTCATTTAAGGTTTGACTTGGATGTTGTGGTAATTTGCTTCTCCATCTTTAGTGTCATAATTTTAGGTCTATCACCTCCTGGTCTATCTTTTACCGTCTTAACGTTCTTCAAAAATTCTCTTTCATGTTTTGAACAGTGATTAAGCTACATTTTGAAAAATCTTAGCCATTTTTCAGATGAACATTTAAGGTCTTTGAAAATGATTTATATCTTCTGATAGTTTCACCATTTTATGTTGAATTTCTTTACAGTTAGATCACACATGAAAAAGAAAAAGATTTGGTTAATGATGAAAATTTATTCCAAGATGTAAATAAAAGAGCTATCGATGAAAAAATGGAAGAAGCCCTAATGAAAGTATGTCTCAGCTACCATTATTTTGTTTTATATCATATTGCTACAATGCTAAATTTTCATTGCTTGTTTGTTTTCAGAGAGGACGTCTCATCGGAAATTATTATTTCAAGTGTGGCGCATGCGCTCTAGCCCCAAGATCTAAGAAATGTCAAAGAATCATTAGATTGTGTATGTTGAAATTTGGAATTGCAATCTCCAAATGGTAATGGAAATGGAAAAATTGAAATGAGAAATTCAACACATTTTATTATTGAAAATAATTCAATCAATTCGAAAAAATGACGTATTCTTTTGAATAAATTTTCTAATTTTTTCAAATCATAAACGTCAAATTCTAATTATTTAAATTTAGGAGATAAAAACTGCAAAAAAGAATTTGAAACAAAAAATAAACAATGATTTGCTCTTGCAGTAAAAAGAAAACTAAAAAAAACATAGATTCCTTGTAAGGAGATATACTTGAAGAGAAAACATAGAAAATCTAGATTACATGAATGAAAAATGGTAGAGATCTGTTCTTGATAATTACATTGATTATATAAAAATTAAAGTTTAATGTTCAATTATAACTACAAATAAAAATATAGAAATTGAATATTCAAGTATGACAAACATGAATTAATATTGAAATTTAATGCTTATTCAAATATGTATTATATAAAATATATGTCATAAGTCATATTTGTTTAGTTAATTTAATGACATTGAATACTGCAGATCAGAGATGTTGACAAATGAAGTTGACAAATAGATATGATATGAGTTGAAGGCAATCAATAAACTTATATTACTAATTATTAAATAAGCTTTCTCCCAGTTTTCTAATGTCTGCATAAACAAAGAAATTTGCATTAGTTAAGTAATCACTTATACTTTCACTTGAACAAATGGAAGAGAAGATGAGAAATTTGTTATGAATGACGTCTTGTTAACCGTAATATTTACAATAGATAGATATAGTTTTTAGAATAAAAACATTTTGAAAAAAAAGTTCTCAGCACTTAATTTTAGACAAACATTTTGGGAAGGTGGATCTATGATCTTTCATCCATAATGATAAATATAAACTTATAATCTATAAATGATGAATTCTTAATAATATTGAATTTCAGATAAACAATAAGTTTTGTTTAATGAAGAAAACATGAATAATTAGTTAATTACTAAATTAAATATTTTACCAGTTATTGGAGATTTATGTTATGAATCATTTATCTTTTGTGTACATCTCAATATAATTATTAATAATTCGGTATTTCATTAAAAACAGTTATTTCCGCTTTAAACATGACCAACTTGAAAGTAGTAATTTTACTTTTTCTACTGTTAAAATTCAAAAATTCAGGTATATTAACTTTAAATTTTAGAGTAGTGTATTCAAATAAGTTGGTTTAAAATTTCTTTGAAAACCTTTCTTTTGTGAGCAGAAAAGATCTGTTCAAGTGAAGAACATTGTTCAAATTTTGAAACTTGTACAATGGGTCAATGTAGATGTCTATTGGAATTTGGAGAAGAAATTTGCAACAACAGTAACAAAACGACAAAAAAGTTAATATTTTAATAGTTTTTTTATTTATTATTTATAAAATAGGAAAGAATCTGATTCTAAGAAAATATAAAAGTATTGAAACTACTCATCATAATATGATCATTCTCAATATTTCAATTATTCAATGCTTTAAAAATTGTATAGAAAATAAACAATTGGACTGTGTAGGAGTTTTATTAAAATATGATAATTCATCAAGAATTTCTCAATGTCAACTTTACAGTGAGATATCTTTTCCATTGTCAACTGACTATGTAAATTCTACATTAATTATTCGAAAAGGTAAGAATGCATAATAAAAAGTAAAATGGAGCATGTTTGTTGTTGTTTAGACAAAAAACTAGGAGTTTGCGGTTCAAATTCAAGTTTACCACCACCAATGGAAGAATGTTATACTTTAATTTGGTTAGAAAATGGCTGCTTTACAGAATTGTTTAAACCTGATTCAAATGAGAAATTAATGACCATTAAACAATTTAATAATTATGCTGGAGAAATATTTCAGTTAGCTAAAAATTTATATGCAAGAAATTCAAATTCAGAATTGTATAGGCTGATATGCTTTCAGCATATTAGTGGGAGTAAGAATATGGCATTTAATAGCCAAGTTTATTATGTTGGAAAATATGATAGTGACCTATATAATCCAAAGAATGTTGTTGATGGTATATTCAACAATGATATATCATTAGGTTCTTGTGTAATATTGAAACCAAGTAATTCATTACAAACTAAGCTTACAATCAAATTGTCAGGCTATCATTTTATTAATAAAGTCATTTTATGGCCGACGAACGAAAATGGTAATTCTTTTTTAAAAGATACTAATTTATTTTCTAAAATCTTTATACAATTTTATTTTTTCCAGTCAATCAATTGTTAAAAATTTACGTATATTGGCCTGAAAATTTATGCGCGGACAATATTCAAGTAAACAATGATTCATCAACTGAAGTTTTATGTAAAAATTTACAGATAAAAGAACATAGTCACGTGACAATTGAACCAAAACTGGATAATCATCTCCATCTTTGTGAAATAGAAATATTATCAAGTAAATGTAAAATTGAATTAATGAATGTTTTATATTGGTTTATTTTTTATATAGATAATATAGCTTATTTAAAGCCTGCTATATCTAAATATACAGTTGGTTCTATGCAAACATTAGTTGATGGTTCTACTACTGCGAGTCTAGAAATAAGATTAGGGATTAACTATTGGATTGCTATTAATCTCTTATCCTACTATAATGTTTTTGGTTTAGATGTAAAACCTAATTTATATAATTTAATTTACTTTAAAAACTTTTATATTGAATTGACAAATGAAAATCCTGCTTTAGTTTATAATTCAACAAAATCTACCCTGTGCGCAAAAAAGATCTTTGATGTAATAAGTTTGGATGATTACTATTCATTTATGTGCTCAAAAGGAGGTGTAAAAGGTCAATTTGTTGTATTTCGTTCAACACAAACGCCCTATGAGAAAGTTGTAATAGGAGAAATTAAAATATTTGGATATTATTTAGCACCTTCTAACCAAATAAATACTAATATCTTACTACATAAGCCTACATGGGCATCTGATACTCTAAATCATTATTACGCCTATTTACTAACAGATGGATTCTATGAGGCATATTTTCATACGCTCAATAAAAAGAAACCCTGGGCAAGGATAGATATGCTTGGAATATATAGATTGTTTAGAATAGCTATAGCAAATAGACATCAGAATTGTATGTATGATGAGTAATAATCATAAAAATAAGGAAATTGTATTAACTCTTATGACCTTTGTTTATTTCAGTTGCAAATAGAGCAAGATATATCAGAGGATTAGTATCAAACTATCAAGATTTTAGTATTGATTATCAATTATACTATTCCAAAATATGTTTCATTAATAATGACGAATTTGAAAGTGGCGAATATAGATTGTGGGATTGTCAGCAGCCAAATCCAATTGGTCGTTTTATTATATTATATCTTCATTCAGATGATCAATATTTTAATATTCTTGAAGCTGAAGCTTATGGTGAAGAAATTATTGATGATGATTTATCCCTTTTACCTCTGATTAAAAGTGATAGAAAAGTTGACAGTAACAGCTTTTCCAATAGAGATACTAATGAACAGTTCCCTTTAAAAATCATAGATGGTTTATCAGAAAATATTGAAAAACTAGGTCAATTTCTTTCGTGTAGTGGAACTTTAACAAATGATAACATAGAAGGAAGAATAACCGTTTATATGAATGATCTATATATGATAAATCAAGTTGTTACTATTCTTTCGCTTCCTCTCCTTAAAGGTAATAATCTAGTTGTTCTAGTTTTTGCGTATGTCAATTCAATAATTTTTTTCTTTTATTCATAAAAAAAAATAAAGAAAATTTTGAAAATGTTCAAGTTGCAGTTGAAATTTTCAATACAATATTACAAAGGCAAATTTGCTCTTTGAAAAATGATTCACAAAGGGAGCATTTATTATATGAATGCAAATCTGTTGGTGATAGAGTATCATTTTATAAAATTGGTGGAAATAATATAATGAAAGTTTGTGAAATATATGTTCTTGGTAGAAGAGAATCTTATAATATAAGCAGTTTGTTATTTTATATTGACCTATATTTTCTCTTTTTATATGAAAATTTTATATTGTTTTAGACTTGGGCACATTTTCAAATGCCTCATATAGATATTCATTAAACACTCTACAATTAAATCCCAACTCATTTTGTAATTACTTAATTGCTAGTCAAGAATTCTATATTCAATTACCATTTCAATATAAAATTACTGCTGTTGGATTTTCTATAGCTAAAACTTTAAATGTTTCATCTGGTATGGAAATTTTTGGTGTGAAATATTCATCAACAAACATACTTTGTACAAGTGTCAAGAGTATTTCGAAAGTTATCAATCCGACATTCTTTACATTTTCTTGTCGGCAGGAAATAGTTGCAAAATATTTAAGAATTTTATTAGTGAATGAGTCATATTACATTTGTAATTTTTATGTTATCAGTAAAGAAATAATCACGAGTAATTCTAGTATGATATTGACAACGATAATAAGGATGATAATTATAATATTAATGTATATTTCTTTATTTTTAGTCAACCATCATTTGAATTACGGCAGAAGATCAATCAAATCAGCCTATATCTTCTCAACAAAAGTGAACTTAAATTTAATGGAGTGTTTAAAAGCTTGTATCAAAGAAAATGAATGCGAAAGTATAATGTATTCAGATACTTTGAGGAAATGTCAATTCAGCACTTTTGCAATTCTTCCAAATTTAATAGAATATCTTACAGAATCAACTAACCAACATTTCGTTATTTTATATAAAAAGGATGCTAATAGTATAGGATACTGTTCGTAATGGTTCTTCTAGTAGAAGATTTATTGATTTTGCTTCAAATTGCATTTTCCTTAATCAAAATGTTTGTGAAATAAAAATTTTTCATGATTTCGATATTCTATGAAAATTTGGGAATCTTCATCTACAAGAACTCCTCGCCACCATTGAATAACATTTGACAAGAATTTTCAATTCTCACACCTATCCTCACAACTATTATATAAAGAATTTATCAACACGAATAGGACTGATGCATTGTTAACACATCATTACCTAATTATTTATGCATAAGACAAAATACATGATGTAACTTGACTTGCTGTTCTTACATTGCTTAAATACTAATCATAGTTTCATAATATGTACTTATGTAAATATGTATGTGTTTTTAACAAAAAATGAATAATTACCTTTGCAGTTGTTTTCCCTCAACATCAAATTCATCTCAATATTTGACAATATCTGTTTCAACTCTTTTATAATAAATAGAAGAAGCAGATGCATTTTTATTCAATCTATTATGCCAACCCTCCAAGTCATTGTTAGAATTATCTATTTCTCTTGTAAACTGACCAAGTACTAGGAACAAAGAAATCTCCAAAAATCAACTGCATGTCCATATAGTCAATTAACTAGTTAAGAATTTTTTGCTCTAAATGCTGTGTTTCTCAGAATGCAATCAGTTTTAAGTTCTAGTATCTTCATTATTATATAATTTTTCTCTTTTCTTCTTATGTAAAGAGTTTTAATATAGTTTCTTTAAAATATTTTTGCTGATTAATATATTCAAGTTGGAAAATAATAACAAAACCTTCAAAAAATTAATATTTCAATTGACAATATCAATGTGTTTAATAGCCTAGTACACAAAAATTTTTATTAACAAATAAAAAGCAAGCTCCAAGAATCATATTCCAATAATCAATTAAAAAGGACCTCCCTCGAACCCTAACCTAACCCATCTCATTTTTGACTTCCTTTCGTTCATTATCAAAAAATATTTCTGCTCCCTTTGCCAATTTAATATAGTGGTTAACTGAGATAATCTTTCCATCTTTTTCTGCTTGATTAACAATTTTTACTTTAAAACCATTCCTTAAAACATTTAGGAAGCTCTTTCACTCTTTCAGTAACACAAGCGATTTCAGTAGTATTGAATGGAAGGAATTTTTCCACAAGTTCTTTACTTCTTCTAACAAAACATTGAACAGTTTCATCATTGAACTGCCTCAATCTATCAATTTCCTTTATGTGCCATTTGAATTTTTCAAAGAAAAATATTTATTCTGGCAAAGAAAGAATGTTAGTTTTTGCAAGTGACCATAAGTTGAAGCTCTTGTTTATTGCAAAGGACGTTGACAGAAAATGTTCACAAATGAGAAATTTCAAGACCAGATTTCTGATTTAGAAATGGTTAGGAAGAAGAAGACAGCAACTGATTTGTACTTACAAGGGTCTTCTCTAAGGGTTACGGGTAATGGAAAAAGTTAGATACAGCCAAGGGCTAGGTTAGGGTTAGGACATTTTTCGTCTTATCCATTGCAAAGATTTCTAAACTCTGCAATTTGTTCTTCATTTAAATCACAGTTATTTAAATGAAGAATCTTCAGAGTTTTTGATGACATTTTAAGTCCTTCAAAAATATTTGAAAATCCATTTCCTATTTTTCTATTCCATTCTAGATTGATTTTTTCCAGGGTGAAACAATGTTTCAGCAAATTTCCAATCTCGTTACCTTGTTCTTCATTTAAACCACACTCATGAAAATCAAGTTTCTTCAGGGTGTTTGATGACATTTGAAGTCCTTCAAAAATATTTAAAAATCCAATTCCTATTTTACTATTCTTTGCTAGATTAATTGTTTCCAGTATGGAACAATGTTTCAGCAAATTTCCAAACTCCTTACCTTGTTCTTCATTTAAATCGCATTGATTAAAATAAAGATTCTTCAGAGTGTTTGATGACATTTTAAGTCCTTCAAAAATATTTATAAATCCATTTTCCATATTTCTATTCCATGCTAGATTGATTGTTTCCAGTATGGAACAACGTTTCAGCATATTTCCAATCTCTTTACATTGTTCTTTTTTTAAATAACACCAAGCTAAATGAAGAATCTTCAGAGTGTTCGATGACATTTGAAGTCCTTCACAAATATTTAATAATCCATTTCCCATGTTTCTATTCCCTGTTAAACTGATTCTTTCCAGTGTGGAACAATGTTTCAGCATATTTCCAATCTCTTTACCTTGTTCTATATTTAAATCACAGTAATCTAAATGAAGTTTTTTCAATGTGCTTGATGACATTTGAAGTCCTTCACAAATACTTAATAATCCATTCCCCATATTTCTATTCCCTGCTAGACTGATTGTTTCCAGTGTGGAACAATGTTTCAACATATTTCCAATCTCTTTACATTGTGTTTCATTTAAATAACAGTAACCTAAATGAAGATTTTTCAAGGTGTTTGATGACATTTGAAGTCCTTCACAAATACTTAATAATCCATTCCCCATATTTCTATTCCCTGCTAGACTGATTGTTTCCAGTGTGGAACAATGTTTCAACATATTTCCAAACTCTGCACTTTGTTCTTCTTTTAAATCACACTCTTCTAAATGAAGATTTTTCAAGGTGCTTGATGACATTTGAAGTCCTTCACAAATATTTATAAACTCATTCCCCATATTTCTGTTATATGCTAGATTGATTGTTTCCAGTGTGGAACAATGTTTCAGCAAATTTCCAAACTCTGCACTTTGTTCTTCATTTAAATCGCATTGATTAAAATAAAGATTCTTCAGAGTGTTTGATGACATTTGAAGTCCTTCAAAAATATTTATAAATCCATTTCCCATATTTCTATTCCATGCTAGATTGATTGTTTCCAGTATGGAACAACATTTCAGCATATTTCCAATCTCTTTACATTGTTCTTTTTTTAAATAACACCAAGCTAAATGAAGAATCTTCAGAGTGTTCGATGACATTTGAAGTCCTTCACAAATATTTAATAATCCATTTCCCATATTTTTATTTCCTGTTAGACTGATTCTTTCCAGTGTGGAACAATGTTTCAGGAAATTTCCAATCTCTTTATTTTGTTCTTGATTTAAATAACAGTGGTCTAAATGAAGATTTTTCAAGGTGTTTGATGACATTTGAAGTCCATTACAAATTTTCAAAAATTGGTTTCCCCATTTTTTCTTCAAAGATTGATGTTGACATTGATTTGTATTGTTTTTGTCAAGACAGCAGAATTCATGATTTTCCTCTGTTAATGGTTGAATACTTTGAAAACAACATGTGTGTTGACAAGGTAGCATTTTTTGATCATTTTTTGCCAACAATTCCAAGCATTTTGAACATTTAATTTGTTTTTCATATGTGATAGATGACTTGGCAGCCATTTTGAATACAGGACTTTTTTATTCTTATTTTCTACAATTGTAGCTCTATCTTGTATTATTCATCTGTTGATATTTCAACTTTTTCCAAACATATGAATAATAATTTATGATATATTATATTGTTATAGTGAGGAGCTACAAATTTTTTTATATTTTGTAAATAGAGAAAGGTTTTAAAAGGTATTACTAAAACATGGACTGTACTGTTTTATATAAAGAATATCAAATATGAATTATATCATTAATGTTGTTATATTATATTGTTGAAAATATCTCAAATTCTATAATAATTTAATAATAAAGCAAAAAAATGAATTTAAATAAAAGCTCACTTGAATTTTGCTGTAGACAGCTTGTGTCCAATGGAAGACACAACCTTGAATATGATTATATTGTACACTAAGTTAAGAGCACTCTATATATCTAATTCAAAATCAACTACAAAATTGTCAGGTTGAAAACCATTTAACTCTGAACAGTCCCAGAAAACTGTATACATCAGTTTTTCAGCTGATTGAGTCATGTTTACCTTTTTTTTGCAGGTGGAAATGATGTGTGTTTGTAGGTTAGGGAAGAACTCTTTGATTCAGGATCATAGAGATGAACTCAAGATTCATCTCCTGTTACTATTTTTATTAGAATATAACTGATACTTTTAAAGGTATTTTTGTTGTTAAAAATTGTAACATTGTAAACATACATTTGTCAGCTATACTCTACAAAATAGATAAGTAGTATTGAACCAGTATTGTAGTACACAAATAACACTCATAAAGATAAGCAGTATTGACCTAGTTTTGTGTAGGGCAGTGCATATACAATGTGAGGCAAAAAAACCTATTAAATTACAGACAGAATATTGCTATATTTCCAACCTAGCATTAATATTATAATTTATTAATCTATAAAGTTATGATTTTGAACTAAC